GTGCATTGACTGTGCAAATAATGGTGCGGTGACTATGCAAACAGCAATCCGCATGCAGTGAAGAACGTAATAAGATGACTGTGCAAATATAAAAAAAAAGATATATATATATATATATATATATATGCGTGTGTGTGTTTATCAATTATAAAGGCTTCAGGCACCACGTGAAGGTAAAGAATAAAAAATAATAAATAATAAAAAAATAAGGTAGCAATGATGATGTTGGGAAGCACTTTCAAAGGTAGCACCAGCTGCCAATTGTTTAAATTAGCATATTGGAGGGCATTCGGCTCTCACAATGCCAAAAGCTATAACCACTCACAATTGCAAGCTACTGTTAGCAAATCAAGAAGGAAAAAGAAAAGAGGTGGTGGTGACAGAATTATTGCAAAGAAGAAAATAGGGGAAGGATGGTGCACGGCACCACCTTGGAAAAATATGATAAAATATATATATATATATATATATATATAAAGGAAAGTAACACATCTTGGTGAGATATATGCTTTTTATCTGTATTTAGCACAATACACTGAATAAAATAAAGGCCGTCTATTGATATATCTAGAAATTACAAATGGGTACAAAAAAAAAATTAAATTAAAAAAAAAAAAAAAGGGAGCCTTTACAAGGGTTGCTCACGTGAAGCCCCACTACTTGGCGAAACCCCAGGAGTGGGAGGCATTGAAGATAGATTATTCGAAGCCTCAATGGTTGAACGTTAGATGACGGAGGCAAAAGGTGCCTCTGGAAGAAAGCCATAAACCTCTGGTGGTCACTTTGAATTCGACCTTCAGATTCCTGCAGCTGATCAAGCTTCCTCTTCATGCTCGTCGAATAATTATTTGCAAGCACGTGCAAATCTCTATTCTCGCGCTTAAGCTGTCTGATCTTGTCTAAGGTTTTCCACCTCGGCCGTCAATGATTCAACTTGACGGGTTCGAGCAAGTAGGCGTTGGCCCATGTTGGACACAGAGCCTGCACACTGAACGTTGAGAGCTAGGGACTCTTGAACGGCCAACTCATTGGACCGTCTTGAAAGCAGCCTATTATCTCTAAGGGTGAGGACGTTCCTAGCTACTATCGTAGCCGTTGTTGCATCCCTCATCATAGAGTCTTCACCTGTAAGAGGGCCATTAGAAGATAAGAAGGACGGGCACCATATATTACCTTGACGCGGCACACCTTTATCACCGCTGAGACTCAAATCTAAACAAATGTTAGATGGGTTAGACATTCTCAAAGATGTTAAAAGAAAATGGTTGGATAGAGTAAAATCTCAAAAAAAAAAAAAAAAAACACCAGAGACGATTTTCACGAACGGGCAATCTTCAAATTGTGCATGTTGGATGTGATCGATACCTTTATAAAAGGAGAGGCAACACAACCACCAATTCAAAAAAAAAAAAAAAAATCAAAGAGACTTTTCAGACGCAATCTCAACTTTTCGGATAACGCGTGCAACTTTGTCAAAAATCTCTGACAAAGTTGAAAACGCGTGGAGTTCACTATCCCAACTACCACACTTTTGCCGACAAGCGTGGGTGACAAAGCTGCACTCGCACCATTACCTGCTATTAAAATCCCTATATGTGTCAACATTCATCCTTCATGGCAAGGCATACATCCAAAACGCATGACTCTTCTTCTTTGCCAAGAATGCAGCTGCAACCAAACCTCTCAATATACTCAGTTTTCTTCTTCCCTGAAAACACCTCTTCAACCAAGTCTTCAAAAGCAAACGTATCTCATATCATCAGGGTCGAAAGCAAGAGTATCTCAAAGTATGTCTTCTCCCTGTCCTTTTCTTTGTTCTTGTTTTTCCCCGCAGGTCAAAGAAAAAAAGAGTAATCAGCCAGCACTTGGAATCAACCTTCTGACTTGGAACCGACTGCCTGGAAACCCCTTCCTTGATTGCTTACGTAGCATTGCTCTCGAGTACTCATCTTCAACCATTGATGTACTTCTAAAGAAGACACCACATCTGCCTGGAAACCAGATGAGGCAAGTAAAAATGACACATCGAAGAATGTGGAGACAAGCGCAACAAATACAGGTGCTGATCCATCCGCTACTTCTTCAAAAGCAAATGTATCTCATATCATCAGGGTCAAAAGCAAAGGTATCTCATGTCATGTTTTTCCCTTGTCTTTCCTTTTGCCCTTGCTCTTGCCTTCAGGACAAGGAGAAAGAAAGCAATCAGTCGGAACCTGAAATTAAACGTCCGATCTGGGACTGATTGCCTGGAAGCTTTGCCTGGTTGCTTACCTACACCGATCTCGAGTGCTTGTCTTCAACTGTTGGTAGGTCTCAAATTTCCTAAACATATATTCCAAGACAGTTGATACGATGTTGGCTCTTTACACTGAAGCTGCCAAACATATGCGAATGACAATGAAACATTAATCTTGTGGATCGTCAGCAAACGCAACAACTGCACGTGCTGATTCATCCCCTAACCCTCTTCAGTATGAATTGGAAAGATTGAACAAAGAAACAGGCCATCACCTCCACCTCGTGTTTGCCTGCCATGTCCGAATCCTGAAACCGCTCGTGGTCCTATTTTTATTCAAGATCAAGCATCGACGGCCCTTGAAGAAATCACAAGTCCGATTCAAAATCAAGTCTTCACCACCCTTGAATCAAATTCAGCTCCAGATAAAAGGAGTAAGTTCAGACCTTTGGAGAAAACCAGAAAACCCTCCAGCCCAGTTCAAGATTAAGCCTGTGGAAAATCAACGATTGAAGGACCAGAAAATCTTCCAGTCAAATTCAAGATCAAGCCTCAATTTAAGATCAAGCCTCAACGGCCCTTAGATCGACATCTACATTAAGGGACTTCAAAGCGCATCTTTTACACGTGACAAGCACATGTATACGACGTGCCTTGAAGTGGGGGCATTTGTAGACATTGAAATTTCAGTGAAATAAATGTTGACCAATGTATTAAAATTACAACCTTTATTCGTTTCACCTACATCACACACTCATTTCACCTACAACTTCCACTTACTTCACCAACCTCACACACACTTATTTCACCTACAACATCCACTCGCTTCACCAAAAAAAAATGGGTGGTGGTGATTCATTCTCTTGGCCTATAAATAGCCATCTCCATCAAGGGAAAAAAGGAGGAATTTTACATCACACCAAAACCTTAAAACTTTGAAACTCTAAAGCTCTTAAGCAAATCCTGAAGGATCAGTAAAACCCTTTTCATACTTTGTCAAATCCTCTTTCAAGATCAAGCCCCGACGACCGTTGAAGGAGCTTCCACCAACTCAAGATCAAGCCCTGACAGGCCTTGAAGAAAGTGTTCATCGTTCATCACCTGTTCATCCTAAGATCAAGCCCCAACGGCCCTTTGGATTAACAAAGATCAACAAACCCATACACCTGTTCTTTAAGATCAAGCCCAGCAGCCCTTGAAGATCCATTCATCAACTGTTCATCCCTAGATCAAGCCCCGACGGCCTTTGGGATCAACAGCTCATCCATAAACCTACACCTTACGAAGATAGAATCAGAGGCTAAATTTGTAGAAGAGATTGTAACCCCAAAATCAATACAAAATATTATTATGTACACATGTTCTTGTTTCAGAAAAATTCGTGTTTACAATAGGTTTTTGATTTTCTATATTTGTTGCTCGGAAGAGAATGACGCGTAATCACCAATATGGATTTTCCATGGTTCCTATGTTTTACTCATTGTGTCAATTTAGTCCCTGTGTTTTCAATTTGGCCAATTTGGTATTTGTGTTTATCTCTGTTAGCCAATTAAAGACATTTCCATCTAATTTTTATAAATTTTTTTTTATAAATTATTATAAACTTATTTGTTTGATTTAAAATATTTAAAAATGAAATAAAAGAAATTAAAATAAAAATTATTCAGGAAAACTAATGAAAAGGGTTTGAAAACTTTGAGTTTTAATAATAAGGACATAATAAAGGGTAAAGTGAATAGTACCAGGATTGACTTTTTAGTGTAAAAATGTGGTTTTTCGTTAAAGTGAACAGTACTATGAGTTTTTCGTTAAAACTCACAAATTATTCTCCTCCCTCCCAGACCTCCTCCCTAACATTACCCCCTCTCTTTTCTATTTCACAACCTTAATCATTTTTCAGATTGGAAGTTTTGTCTCTTATATGTGTTATTTCTCATTGATTTTCATTTTTTCTATAAAGAAAAAGGGTAATTATATCTCATATAATTTTTCTTATGAATTTTGTGAAAGAGATCGAATGAAATGTTCTTAATTGGCTACAATAGACAAACACGAGGATCAAATTAGCCATATCCAAAACATGAAGACTAAATTGACCACATTGCTATAACACAAAGACTATTTTAACTTTTAAGCCAATAATTTAAGAAAAATCAACGGTCAACATTGATAGTAATAACTAGGATGAATGCCCGCGCTTTGCTGCGGGTTTTTAGATGATGAATAATATTCATAGAAAATTGATTGAAAATGCTTTAGTAATATAATTGCATTCATAAATGTAGCAAGTTAAAGAACGTATGTTTAACATGAGTAAGGTTTACAAAACCACATATTTATACAATTATCTCCAAATGAAAAAAAAAGCAGGATATGGGTGAATTGATCCATAGAAAAAGTAATTTCATTTACATTGGTTATGTATTAAGTCAATATTGAGAGTCAGTATACAATCAAAATTACTTGCCGGTGGTGATCTCACTTTCGAAAGATAATCTTGACAATAGTTGCAAGGACGAAATATAGTGTCTTTGCATTAAAGACTGAAGTACCATGCAGTTTACACATATTTTGTTTGTTCATACAACATGACAAAATACGGGTTTTTATCATTCCAACAGTTGCAAAACATAATAAACATGTTTTTATGGTATGTACATTAGTTGACTTTAGTAGTCGAATTCGCAAAAAGTATATGTCCATGTTAGTGGAATGACCAAAAAATATATATGTTTGATCCTTTGCAATAGTCGATCACGTTGTCTACCAAAACCCCTCCTAGAATTTGTTGTTCCTTTCGATCGATCTCTTTCACCATTTTTTTTTTCTCTGAATCAAAAATTAAATATAATGTCAATAAATGTTTTTAAAAAGATAAAATTTTGTAGACTTGAGCAACATTGTTTAAATTCTTAAAAATCTGAAACAACAAAGAAAATACATCAATTATTTTTTTATAAGTAAAAAATACATGAATAGAAATATTTATAAATATGTTTGAATAACCAATTTGTGTTTGTTATAAGATTACTTATACTCATTTTATTAAGTACGTAAATTACGAAATTTTTTTTTTTTTCTGAATAATTTGTAGTTCGTTGAGAGAGACCAGTTATCAATAGCAATTATTGAAGCACTTAAAGGAGGATGAGTCCCTTACGGTCTCTCATTCATCCCTACGGTTGTCATGTATGTCAAATTAGGCATAAGGAATAAGGCCAGTTTTTTTAGGTTTTACGATGGTGAAAGCCAAAGTTGAAGAAAAGCAACCACTTTTTTTAGGTTTTACGATGGTCAAAGCCAAAGTTGAAGAAAAGCAACGTATGCAAAGGCAAAAATATTTATGCAATGACATTTGTTTTTATTACCATGCATGTGAGCTATTATACACATGAGAAAAAATTCGATTTATAATAGAGTCCATATATAGCATAATTAGAAAAAGAGTTCATGGACTATTGTCCTCCGCCTAGAAGCGTATGTTTATAAAACATTGGAAAAATTAGAAAAGGCATCAAAATACACAACAAACATCATAAAAAATTTGAGGATACAGCAAAATTTGAGGATATTGTTCCAGGGAGAATTCACATCATGTTTAACTACATTATTTAATTCAAATGTAATCTAAAAGCAGCATAAATATGAAGGGTAAAAAACTAATAGGAAAAGTCACATTTCAGCAGCAATTAATAGCAGAAATCAGGGCTTTGTAGGAAGGACGAAAACAATTTCAGCAAAAAGATACCAGAAACTATAATTACCAACATATTTACATACATGTGAAAATTTATTTATAATCACATTTACAATGATTAACATATTTACAATAAATTACATACACGTAGGTATCCAAGTGTCCATGAATCAGGCATATCACAACACTAATCTATATCCAGAAAATCCTTGCATCTTCCCACTATGTGGCAAGTCGTATTTTAAGTTCCTACTTCCGAAGACTTTGAAGGCCAGAACAACAAAAAAGACCATGAATTTTGACCTTTTTCTTTTAATTCCGCGTTAGGTAATGAATTAGCAAATTGGTATTAATTAGTATTAGAAAAATAGTCATCATGCTCTTTGTTTTTAGGAAATGCTACTAAGTTAAAGAGTTCAATGCACACACTCTAAACTCTGATAAATTTGAGGGCTGTTATCTATCGGTGACTCATTATCAAGCTCGGCATGCACAAATTCTTCACATCCACAAAATCACAAAATCTTGTACTTCCATAAACATTTGCAACCCAATATAAAACAATTGAAAAACTTTAATAAAAAATGAACCATAAAAACAATAAAAATTTGGTGACCAAAAACCTCTCAAAAATCGAGTTTGGAAGCATAAACAGAAATAGCAACTAAATTGAATCGCTTTATAACAACTTCCGAAGAACAAAATCATCACCAAGATTCAGTTTAATTAGTTTTCTCACCATATCCTTATACATGCAGTTTATATAATGAGACAATCATCTTCCAAAACCATTTTACAACCAATATAACTTTAGTGCTAAAAAAAATTTTTGTATTTCCAAAAACATCCGCAATACATGCAATCTCCACCCACTAATAACAATAGACAACATCACATACGCAACAAAAGGCGAACACAAATCCCACATTTCATATCAGTTCGAAACATTAAATTCTAAGAACTAAAAATAATAATAACAGTACCTTAAACTGAAGCTTCAGGTGAGAACTTCCTGCTTTGCAACCTGCAACAAACGATAGAAATTAAAACCCACGAATCCACAATCAGATAAAAACAATTTTCCAAGAAAAACAAAACCAAAATTGGTATACAAAAGAGCATTAGATCTATAACCTGGAAAAAAAAAAAAAAAAAAAAGGCATACAAAAAACCCCAAAAAAAAAAAATAATAATGGACCTTAAGACAGAGAACAAATAGGCACACAGAGATGAATGTGCAAAATGAGAGAAAGGAAAACTAAACCAAGATTGGTATACAAAAGAGCATTAGATGTATAACCTGGAAAACAAAAAGAAAAAAAAAGCCATACAAAAAACTCCAAAAAAAAAAAAAAAAAAAAGTTAATCGATCTTAAGACAGAGAACAAACACGCAGACAGAGAGATGAATGTGCAAAATGAGAGAAAAGAAAACTAAACCAAGATTGGTATACAAAAGAGCATTAGATCTATAACCTGGAAAACAAAAAGAAAAAAAAAAAGGCATACAAAAAACTCCAAAAAAAAAAAAAAAAAAAAAAAATTAATCGACCTTAAGACAGAGAACAAACACGCAGACAGAGAGATGAATGTGCAAAATGAGAGAAAAGAAAACTAAACCAAGATTGTTATACAAAAGAGCATTAAATCTATAACCTGGAAAACAAAAAGAAAAAAAAAAGGCATACAAAAAAATCCAAAAAAATAAAATAAAAATAAATAATCGAGCTTAAGACAGAGAACGAACACGCAGAGAGAGAGATGAATGTGCAAAATGAGAGAAAAGAAAACTAAACCAAGATTGGTATACAAAAGAACATTAGATCTATAACCTGGAAAACAAAAGGAAAAAAAAAAAGCCATACAAAAACCCCAACAAAAAAAAAATATTACGGACCTTAGGACAGAGAACAAATGCGCAGACAGAGAGATCAATGTGCAAAATGAGAGAAAAGAAAACTTATAAGGGAAATAAATATCTCTGATGATTCCCCCAAAATCTGACCTAACACACTAAAAAATTCGAAAATAATCCACAACAAACAGGCAGATCTAAGCTGATAGAAAAAAAAAAAAAATTTAAAGCACTTATCTTTCGAAATCCAGGCATGCAGCGGTAGATCCGGATAATCCGTATCCCCACTTCTGAAATCGACGACTCATACCTTTCCCCTTCGCTCTCCTTCCATCGTCATCTCTCTCTCTCTCTCTCTCTCTCTCTCTCTCTCTCTTTCTTCCACTCTCTGTCACAGTCTCCATCCCCCCGAAACCCTCATCGAAGGACAGCACACAACAACCCTCGAACTCAGTCAAAACCGAGAAGATATCACCCACTTTCCCACTTCTGAAATCCATCAGCCATACCTCTCCCTGCACTGTCTTCCCCTCGAAATCTCTCTCTCTCTCTGTCTCTCTCTCTCTCTTTCTCTCTCTGTCTGTCTCTCTGTCTCTCCGTTTCTTCCGCTCTCTGTGACTCCATTTCCCTGAAACCATAAATGAAAGACAGTAAGTGCAACCCTTACACGGCAACCCTTTAATTCACTTAAAACCGAGAGGACAAAATTGCCCTTCTAACCTAGTCCACAAATAATGGGTTTCTTGCAAATAAGATGAAATGAAGGGGTAATTCGTCCTAAACCCTCCGGACAAAATCACCCTTATCAGTTCAAATAATATCCTTCAAACCCAGCCCAATGCTCATGGTTTTTTCGTAAATAAGATGAAATCGAGGGGCAAACAATTGACTGTAGCCCAATGAACAGTCAATTGCTCCCTAGTTTTAGAATAGATAATGGTTAATCTGCTATCAAATTTGGGTGAGATTGGTTTAAGTGACGTAAGCGTCTTAGTGTTTGTTTATCTTGCTTTATTTGCATTCATTTTTTATCTTTACTAGTGTTTAGTTTCTTTGCATATCTAGTTTTGTCATCATAATTCTTATTTTATTTATTTTTAATTTGCAGTTATTACAATAATAAATTTAGATATTCTGATTCTCATTGGAACGACATTCTACTTGTCATATATTACCATAATTTAAGTGATATGGTACACTTGCAATTATTACAACAGTTGAAAACGCTTATTTGTCCGCTAATATTTTGTTGTTACAAATGAGTGTCAAAGCACTCGTTTGGTTTGAAAATATTTCTTTTAGAAAACACTTATGCTTTTAAATTTTTCTATTAAAAGCACGTCAAAGATTTTTAATAGAAATTCAGATTTTGTTTTAAAAAGTGCCAAGTGCTAAGTGTTTTTCTAATTCGTAAGTGTTTTTAATGTTTGTTGTTAAACGTTTTCTTTTGGCCAAACCAAAGAGAATGAAACGTTAAATCTCAACGTTGTCAAACGTTAGGAGAAACGCTACGAGTAAGATTAAAAAAAAAAACAAATTTAATACTTTCATCGTCTTCTTGTACCCCTTAATAATTTAATATTTAATTAAACTTGACGTCATAGGATAATGCAACCACACCTAATAATATGATGTGAAATTAACATCACGTGAAAGTGTAACAGTAAAAAAAAATTATCCCAAACAGTTATAGTAAACCCGGCAAAACGTCCGTGTCATGCATATCCACAGCAAAATATAGAAATGGAAATCCCCAAAATATTTTTATCCAATCATTTGCTTTTACTCTCTCTCTCTCTCTCTCTCTCTCGCGTTTCGTCTTCACAGCGATCTCGGAAATTAGGGTTTTGGAGACTCCGGGGTTATTATTTGCTTATCTGGAATTTCAAGATCCCCTCGCACTCGGTGAGCTTCCATTGACCTTCGTTGATTCATGCTGTTGATATTATCTTTATCTTCGATTCTTAATCGCATTTCGATTTCAAAATTGCGGTGATTCGTGTTTCGCAATTGCTTTTTCGTGATGTGAGTCGAGTTGATTTTGGTTAAGTTATTGCAATTTTGTTTATCTGTGTGTGTGTCTGTGTGTATGAACAAGGAGGTGTTCTTGCTTGACTACGAGGAGGAAGGTTTAGATTATTGAGGAAAGTGAGATTTTATGCTTAATTGCTTGAATTTTGATGCAAAAAACAGTAATCGGATGTAAATTTTGATTAAAGTGAATCTTGATCTGCAGGCTGTTTGCTTGAATCGTATATTCTTTTGTTTAAGAAATTGGATATTTGGATGTGAATTGCGTATTGGATAGTGATCTAATATTGTCTAGAGTCAGTCTTCGTGTGTACGTTTGGACATAGAGTTGAGTTCTAGATAAGTTGAGTTACTAACTTTGACTAGCTCGGTTTGTAAAGGATTATGGATTTGGTAATTTGTTTTCTTTAGTTGTTTTGAGTAGTAACTGTTGTGATTAAAACATACACCTGTTCGTGTTTGCAAGATCAGTCCTCAAGAGATTCCTCTCGTCATGTAATAAAGATCAAAGATATGATATGGGATTGATCCCAGCCTCCTAATGCTAAATTGGTAACTTCAAAAAGATGGTTTCAGATTTTTAGAAACACTCTCACCTCTATCTGAAAGTTCTTGGTGCAACAGTTAATTTGTGCTTTGAGTAACTTCACAATAATGAACCACGTTATTTGTGGAACCCCCGTCTTTTTTTTTTTAATATGGCTTGTTTAGACATGGAAGTTTCTTTAATGATTATCTTCTTAATGTTGTCTGATAATATCGGGTTTTCTGTTTCTTTCAAAATGGCAGATTTTTATGATTTAAGACCATGAAGCCAGGACTTTCTTCTTTGAATCCCTACGCAGCAGCATACATTCCACTCTCGAAGAGGGAGACAGATGATAGAACTTATGTGACAACAAAAGATTCTAGCCGCAGCAATGAGTCAGTCTGGTTTGGGAACCCTCAGAATTTTACCCATAATCAACATCATAGCAAACTTTATCTTGAATCTGATGCCCCTGGTACTGCAACACTCCAGAGTCCAAAGTCATATGCTGTAAAGAACTACCCTGCTCATGGCTATTATGGTTCATCTTCGCAGAATGTGATTAAAGTGTCAGAAAATAAAGATTTTGATATGGATATGGAATATCTTGGGATGTCATTTCCTGGTATATCTGATCAGTCCCTTAGTGATGTGTATTTGGCAAATAGGGGCGACCTGGATGCCACCATTGACATGCTGAACCAACTTGAGGTCACTTTCATATTTTTTTTCTTTAATGTTGATGTGGTTAAATATTATTTCATATTGCAAATATCATACATTGTCCTCCACTACTGTTATGTTGCTATGCATTACATATAAATACCCAAATACCGCTGCTTGCAATTCTGAAAGCAGTTGAATATATAGAATCTCTGTTTACTTAGATTAGTTCAGGTTGTGTTGTTGTATCATTTATAAAAGGTCAAAACTGGGAATTCTTTATCCAATTTGAAGCAGTAACTGTGTATGTGCTGTGAGTTTGTGGCACACTTCATGTCACCTTTCATTAAGTAAAAAACAGTCCTTTCCCTTGACATATTTTCTATTGCAAATTTCCAAGTTCATTTAACTTTGCATGCTTTGTCATGGTTGTATTGGCTTATAATGACAGTAATATGTTTTCTATGTATAGTCTATTTCTTTGACATGGTAGAAGTCCTTTTTCTACTTTTAAGTGTTTTGGTTCTTTGTGACAATTCTTATTTGTGTGCGAAGCGTATTCATGAGAAAGAATCATCTTGTTCCATTGATATGGTGGGCCGGTGGTATATTGAAATATACGTATTTTAAGCAAATAAAAGAATCACTATTGATAGGATAGAATGCATTGAACTTTTGCTTGTTTGCAAGTCCGGCAAAGTTGTATTATGAACTAGATAAAGTTAGAACATCCAGGAATCTCCATCTCTGGTTGTTTGTTACCTTTAACGTTAACATCAAACGTATTGGAATTCGATTTTTATGTTTATGAGTATCAGCACTGAAATAACTCTGCAATCCGACTTACGTGTTTTATTATTTACTGAAAGTCTCTGTTTCTTACTGCAGTTCGAATCTTCTGAAAGTCTTCCAGACACTTTGGACATTGGTGATGTTTCTGAATCTGGGTTGGTGGGCAATAGTGCATGGAAGCTGAAGAATGTAGCAGGTGAAGCCAGTGGTTCGCCCAAATCGTAGGTCCTAAGCCCGTCTCCTGTTTGATTTTGTGGAAAACAAAGAAATGTCAGTTGTTTTACTCTTGACGTGTTTGGTTATATGGGTAAAAGAAGTATATAAATAGAGGATATATCTCTTGGGGGAGCATCAAATGCACACATAGTTTGATGATATGGTTGTATAGTTGTTAGATGCTTGTGTTTTTTTAGACATCTTCAGGTTTTATGAGCCGAAAAAGCTCACTGTCCAATTCTCTTGCTACTCCGGGTTTTTTTGAAATGAAAGTGATGTGCTTCTTCATGACATTTTGTTATGATATCAATGTGCTTATAGTGCCTTAAAGCTTCGATATAGCGAAAATATTTGGCTCCTCGTGGCAGTTGTGAGGTGTGCACATAACAATTCGACACTCTAAAAGGACTTCCATGGCACGTACGCTGCCACTTTGGCGTCTAGTGCCATGGAAGTTGCTCTCCCTCGCCATTACATCATGTTTGCATCCACATAACTTGGAACTTCAAAAACATTTAACATTTTCTATATCGCTACATAATATTTAACACTATAGGGTGTTTTAGTCGTTAGATTTGATTTCTATAACAGTTTATTTCTATTATCAATCTTAGTCATTCATTTCATTTACCGTATCATTCAATGCGGTAGTATTGAAGAAAAATTTTATTTTCTAAGTAAATGAGCAAACATAAAGATTCAGAACCATGTGTTCATAATTAAATAAAGCAAAACAAATTACAGAACAAAGCAATTGACGGTACACAACCCTATTTGGATTCTATCTCCGTAAAACATCTCTCGTTTATGTGGGCTGCGGTATCTTGGGATCCCAAATAATTTTGCCGACGGAGTAAAACTCTGCACTGCTCCTCGCCACCGCAATTTGTCTGACATCGTACCATTCCCTAACCCAAGCAAAAATTACATATTACACCTCTGAAAAATTACATATTACAACCAGGATATAAATAAAATGGGAGCATGATTTTGTTATTTATTTGAACAAACGATGTTATCTATAATAAGGGGGAGATCGTGGACTTAGCCTTACAATAGACTAGCAATAATATAATTCAAATCCACATTTGTCGAGAATCAAACTTAAAACCTCTTACTTACAAGTAAAAATAATACCATCAAACCATAATACAAAGTGGCATGTAAGTGATTTTTATATCTCAAATTGCATCTAGTTGTGTCGTTAAAGTTGTTGAGGTCTTACAAACATGTCCGCTTTGTTGAGGTCTTACAAATATGTCCGTGATCCTCGGTAATAAAAAGAGGATAAGATAAATATATCTACCAAACGCGGTCTTAACAAACCCCATTTCCCCATTTGCTTCTTTCTAGAGAGAGAAAGAGGAGAGAGAGGTGGATGCTGATCTGGGTTTTTATGACAGGTTCTAGCTTTGAAGAATCTCATCTGATGATCTCTGAGTGATTGAATTTGGAAAATTATAGAACATGGGGGTGGATTATTATAACGTATTGAAGGTAAACAGAAATGCTGGAGAGGATGATCTGAAGAAGGGATATAGGAGGCTGGCAATGAAATGGCACCCTGATAAGAACCCTAATAACAAGAAAGAAGCAGAAGCCAAATTCAAGCAGATCTCGGAGGCTTACGAGGTATCTTCCTTTCCTTTCTGCTTTTCTTGTTGCACAATCATTCTTCCATTTTATCCTCATAATTTGTAATTTACAATGTGTGTGGGTACATATACAGTCTTTCTTCCTGCATGACGTCCTATGGTCGCGTTTATAGACAATGATTGTTGTTTTTTCGGGTGTAGCGTCTGTCTTGTATAATTTAGACATTGGTTTCTAGTCTCAAATTAGAATTTAGAAATAGGTTTCTTGTCTCAAATTCGGAATTAGGTTTCTAGTCTCGAATTTGTTAAATGAGGCTCAAATGAAATGGAATTGCTATTGTTATAGATGGTTTGTATGTTCTTTCATGTCCGAAAGAGCTGAGTTTCATTTGTGAGTGAAAATAAAGATTGGTGAAAATGTATTTGTGAATTCAGGTCTTGAGTGATTCTCAAAAGAGAGCGATTTATGGGGCGAAGAAGGATTGAAAGACATGCCACCTCCAGGAAGTGGTGGTTCACCGTTTGGAAATGGCGGCGGAGCTGGACCAAAAGGGTTTAATCCTAGGAATGCAGAGGATATCTTTGCCGAATTCTTCGGAAGTAGTCCTTTCGGATTTGGATCATCAGGAGCTGGGAAGTCTATGAGATTCTCGTCTGATGGAAGCGGAGTGTTTGGGGGATTTGGAGGCAACGAAAATACTTTTCGATCATATAGTGAGGGTGTTACTCGAAAGAAACCGCCGGCAGTGGAGAGCAAATTGCCTTGCAGCCTTGAAGAACTGTATGCTGGGTCAACACGGAAAATGAAGATATCAAGAACTGTGGTTGATGCAAATGGGTAATTCGTTTTAAAACTATCCCTATTTTCCCATTGTCCATACATTGATTGTTACTTGAATCGCAAGAAATATTAACCATAGCTTTCATATGATAATCTAGACTTTTTCGTTTGTATGCCCCGTGCTTTGACGAAAATCTCACTTGCAAATGTGTAGCTTCACCCCTTGTGTTTTCATTTCCTGTCCGAAGTTATCCCATTCTGTCAAGTTGTTTAGGAAAATCGTTAACGTGGCTGATGTGGCATACAAACGAAAAAGCCTAGCATCTACAATGATGTTTCTTTCTTGATTTCAAGCCAGATGACGTTCATAAATGATAACCTAGCTGACAAATTTTGTTCTGGAAAAACGAAAATCGCAGACGCCAAGTGCTGGAGCAAGAAATATTGACAATCGAAGTGAAGCCAGGATGGAAGAAGGGAACCAAGATTACGTTTCCTGATAAGGGTAATGAACAGCTTGGCCAGCTGCCGGCAGACCTTGTCTTTGTGATTGATGAGAAGCCCCATGACACTTACAAGAGAGATGGCAATGACCTAATTGTGAACCAAAAGGTGTCGTTAGCGGAGGCGTTGGGTGGAACCACACTACACCTCACCACGCTAGATGGTCGTGATCTATCAATCCCGGTGACTGACATTGTGAGCCCCGGGTACGAGCTAGTTGTTGCCAGGGAGGGTATGCCGATAGCAAAAGGGCCCGCTAACAGGGGTGACTTGAAGATCAAGTTTGAGGTGAAGTTCCCTACAAGATTGACCCCGGAGCAAAGATCTACACTTAAACGAACTTTGACAGGCTGAAGAGTCCTCACATTTTGCCATTGTAAATTAGCCAACAGTTTGAAAGCATCCATTGGAGCTACTGGACCGAGTAAAAGACGGAGAATTCCTCGACAAGAAGGCGGAGAAGCGCTCGAAAAGAAGGCGAAAATCGGGCAGAAGCTCTTTGTTCTGCTAACAACTTGAAAACTTATTGGATATATTGTACTGAGTGATTCCACTCCATTGTTTCTTCTTCTTTTTTCTCTCTTTTGTTATCTATTTTCTTCGTATATTAAACTGTATGTATTGACAGTTCTACATGTTTTGTTGTAGAGTATAGCTTGTTATGTAGCTAGTTATATACACACACACACACACACACACACACATACATATTTATATTTATATTTCATGCGGAATTTAAGAATATTTAAGAATATAGCTTGTTAAAAATCAAAAACAATTTAAGAATATTTCATGCGGAATTATTAATAAGTAAATGCTTTTTCCTTCGTGTTACTGTTTTTTTTTTTTTAGTCTTTTTGTTAGTGATTGTCGCTTTTCCCGCTCTTTAGAGTTTTTACTTATTAATAATTTACAACATCAGCAACCACTACCAAACCTTATCCCATTTAGAGGAGTAAGTATAAGTATACATTCGAGAACACCACTTAATTTTACTCAATAGTAATTTGAAATCAAATCATTGAAAACTATAAACACATGCAACATTTCAATATTCCCAAATCCACTTGACTATCTAGGCAAGTCAAATAAGACCGTATGCAAAATGTCATAAAAGTACAGTACAAGTCTCATTTCTTGTATCCCATATTTGCTTCTCATTAATACTCGTCCTCCTCATCATCGTCATCGTCATCTTCTTCCTTGTCATCGTCCTCATCATCGTCATCGTCATCGTCCTACAATGATCAATAAGAAATGCAAGGTCTCCAAATGTGACTACCATTTACAAACAAGCTACAAAAGGTAACACATAGACATGTTCACAATTATTCACTGAAACACAAACCAAAGACAAGGCCAATATTGACCGCATGAAATAGATGCCAAATGGAGTAAATATAAAGATAAAATCAATAGAGGCCACACCATGGCCTTTACCTTTTCAATATTTTCCATCGTTACTCCTTTATCTTTTGAGGCTTGAGCAGCTTTCACCTCAGCATGTCTCATACGCTCCTTCAGTTTGGACCTATAATATCGCAACCAAAGTCGAGGAATTACAACGCTTCATAGAAAAGGAAGGCACGATCCATTTAATGAAAGAAAAGAAAGAGCAACAGCTACCTGAAATCTTCGTTCAGACTATTTTCAACTGTTGCTACAGCTAATCCTCCACCAAATCTGGCAGTAAAATCCTTCTTGATTTGATCGAGAAAGGCCAGAAGAATTTTTCGACTCATAGCCTTAGCTGCAACTACACAGTATGCTGCAGCACCCAAATGGTGTAGTTAGTTCAGCTATATGCATACATGCATAGTAAAGTAAAAAGACGTGCGACTAGACAAGCTTGGCTATCAAGAAAGCAACTAGTAATAATCAATAACCAATGAGATTCTAATTATATATGTTAATAAACCAAAAGAGGGCCACAAAGGAAAGAGACGAGAGAAACAAAATCAAATTAATACAAGTGTAGACCAATCTTATACGATGGTCATAAAAAAAAAGGGACAATACTCCTAAGCCTGTTGACTGCAAGAACCAAATGATTCAACAACCATACATTGAAACAATTTAAATGAAGTAAAAAGGAAATCAAATACATGAGCACGACCTTATCGAGTGGAAACTAGAAATCGAACACAAATACATGAGACTGAAGTTACTATCAAGCAGGTAGTTGATCGTGTAGCCACGACCTTATTGACTGAAAAGTAGAAATCAAACACAAATAGAGGAGAGGAGAGGTATTACTGAAGTTGCTATCAAGCAGGTAGTTGATCGTGCAGCCACCACGGTCGTAGGTGATCTTATTTATCGAACAGGGGAGCTCAGAGAGATGATCCACAGCCAAGCCACTGACCGTATGGTCAAATGGCAACCAATCTTCAAGAGCCACCGTCCCGTGCGCCACGAAGCTATAGCTCAATGATGGAGCTTTGGATTTTCTTCTCATGCGAAACCCTCGATTCTATTCTTAAGCGACAAGAACAATATTAAACATATGAAAAAGATTGGCAGAGTAAAGATAAAATGAAAATCGAAAGAGTTGAGAGAATGCCCTTTACCTTGTCAATATATTCCATCGCAACTTGTTCGTCTTTTGAGACTTTAGCAGCTACATATTCCATATGCTGCTTCAGTTTGGACCTACAAAGTTAAGGCATTAGAACACCTCATAGAAAAGCAAAGGTGCAATCTATTTAACAAGTGCAGGGATAAAGAAACAGCTACCCTAATTCATTGCTCAGACTATCTGCAATTAGTGCTTTAACAAATTGTGCATGATATTTACCAAGAAAATCCTTCCTGACTTGATTGAGGAAGGCAAGAGGAATTTCTCGACCAATAACCTCATCCGCAACTACACAGTATGCTGCACCATTGAAATAGCGAAGTTAGTTCAGCTATATACATAGTGCTACAAAGCAAATTAAAAAGACGTAGTTTATTCCGAAGCCAACATTCCGTAAAACAAATACGGACTTGTTTGGTACCTACTTGAATCCAACTTTTTTTAACTTAAGAACAATTTTTAAGTTTTAGACCCTAAAAACTTGTTTGGTATGACTATTTTAAAAAACTGAACTCAAGAGTAACAAAAAAAATATATTTTATTTTCTAAGAACATAAAAAGTGAGTTTTTAGAGTTTTATAAACTTAAAAATGCTCATTTATTTTTTCTCTCTCCTCCCCTATCACTCCAAATCTCTCTCTCTTCTTCTTCTTTCTCTCTTATTTTTTTTGTCTTTTTCGTCTCTTCTCCAATCCGTTCTCTTCATTATTTCGGTTCTCTCTCACTCCTTTTCCTCTCTATCTCGTCCGATCCTTTCTCTTTTTTCCTCTTTCCTTCAATCATCTTTTACTTTCTTTCTTCCTCTCTCTTCTTTCTCCCTCTCCTACGACTCCCTCTTTTTAGTTCTCTTTATCTAGTTTAAGTCATAAGATTTTAAAATTTTAAATCGCAAACCAATCAAGTTTTTGAGCTTTAGAAAAAATTGTTTTGAAGAAATAGTTTGAGAAATGATAAAAAATTTCAAATACGATACCAATCAGCTTCTAATATTTTTCTTTTTATTCGAAAACCAACAAAAACACGAATAACGAATTTCAATCAGCGAAATTTAGACTAGTCTTACCATCGTCTAAACCAGAACCGTAACAAAGACGCGGGAAGAGTAAGAGATATTACTGAAGCCATAATCCATCAGGTAGTTGAAGGTGTAACCATCACCACGTTCGTAGGTGATCCTTCTCATCGAATGGTCGAGCGTCTTGAGCAAATTCAGACCCAGGCGAGCCACATCCTCCTAATCCTGATGATTTGAGCACTCTGCAAGTATAACCGTCCTGCACATCACAAAGCTGCAGATCAACGATGGAGCCATCGATTCTATTCGATTCTCTTCAAACCCTAATCATACGAGAGAGAAAGAGATAGAAAGCGACAGAGAGAGATTGAATTTCAAAACGTGTGTGAGACAAGTGACGATTTTATTGACAAAAATACGACATTGAGGCAGGATGGATGAAGTGGAAGACTGTATTCCTCTAGGGTTTAGGGGTGGCTGGCCCTAGGTGGTATTTTTGGTGGGAATATTTCAAGATATTTGTGTAAATAAATATCTTGAATTAATTAGGTAAATATCCTAAATAAATGAGATTATGATTAATTACTTGAAAGAGGTATTCTTTGATTAGGAATGCATTTATGATAAGAATAAATGAATGTTCTATCATAAATACCTTTGACTTTTTCTACAGGCAGGGGTGCCTTTGATAGTGGTTGATCTCTACCTGCTCTACCTCAACTGCGCATGATGAATGATGTTGCTTCCTGCTCATTTAGTAAGGGCAATCTTGTCTTTCTTGGGAAATTATCCACGTGTCAGCTCCATGATTTTTGAGGTTATTTTTGGCTCCATAGCCAACCCTGAGCCTAATTCAATGCCAACCCCAAACAGTCACACTGAACTAACGTGCGGTAATTCGGGAGTGCTAGATGATTTTTACGAATATATAATGAATGACCATTAAGAAATGTGTGAAAATTAAATTGTGGCTATTCATTTTGTATGCAAGATGTGTTAATTTTGCAGGGGGATGAACTATTATTTATCCGTGGCCACAGTAGGTTTTTCAAAGTTTGTGTGGGTCACAATAGTGATGGAATATGTAATCAACTACGGGTGACATGTTATGAGATCTTATGAACATTTCTGAATAGATAGGAATGTTTATGAAACTTATACTTGCAAGACTTACTTAAGCTTGAAATTACGATATAGTTACAAAAGTCTCTAGAAAGTGTACATAATTAGGATGGGAGCAAATATATAGGAAGGGAGATATGAGGCTAAGCATTCGTGGGTGTGTTGTGAGCGGCCTTCACATACTTGTGTTCGATATGTACTCACCACTATCTCTGACAATGTCTTCCACTTGCGAGGCCATAATGCAGTCACAATCATATTCAAATTGAGCCCGATGGAGATATGAACGAAATTTCTAAAACCCACAATAGAAAGCAAAGTCATACTCTTCTTGGAGCTGCTTCGTCTACCATGAATAAATTGACCTTCGATGTACATCTTCCTTCTCTTTTTCAACTAGTTCTTTATACTTACACTTTTAGCTATGTATTAGGTGTTTGTACTTTGTTGATTTGTATAACGCCTCGTTCATCTATTGTTGTAAAGCAACCAATGTGGACTCCTTTTCGAGGCACTTTTGATGCCACTCATTGATAGAGCATGAGTTGGTAGAAAATTTGGCCTTTAATTCTACAATTTGATCAGTCAGATCATTGGAATCACCATCACTCCCTGAGAGAGTCATGACATGTGTGCCTAAACCATGGCTACTAAATTGTTCTTGCCTGCATTTTATAGATGATCAATTCAGATGTAATTAAATGGCACATCAAGCCATAAATGGATGGAAACGGATTGTCTGCTTTCAACTAGTTTGTCAGCAACACTCCTTCCAATTGCTTACCCTTTTTTTGTAACTACATTAGGAATGTATTGTGGACAAACCAAGTGTTGTCCAATGACTTGTCCTTGGTCTCCATTTGTTGATGATCAATTTAGATGTCATTAAATGTGATACCAACAAAAATTGGATGGAATTGACTAATTCATGACTGCGTATTGTGGGTATATGATGGCTTGTGAACAATGGTGTTCAGGCTGTCAAGAGCTGAGTTTACAACTTTTGTTCATAAAAAAATCCTTCCAAATCCTAAACCTTTTACCATAACAACATTAAGAATGTGTTGTGGTGGCAACAAAATGTTAAGTTCGTATACTGTCACATTTAAGAGGGCAAAAAAAAGTGTCGTTTTGTATATATGTGTGTTTAAGCATCACCAATACAAATTCGTCTTACCTAAGCATCAAGTAAAGCAATGAAAGTAATCAAATCAGGAGAGTACCCACTTCCCAAAAACCAAATTCATGAATATAAATCTCCTTAGTTCCTTATCCATAAACACACAATTACCATTTGTACAACAAAAACAAAAGGAAGAATACTGTAGAATCGTACTATCAATCGAGGCACATGATTGGATTTACGGACTGGTGAGTCAATGCACCTCAAGCAACAGTGAACATGCATGATGAACTTAACAAAGTGATTATGGCCATTTCACAATTCACATTGTTTTTGGAAAAAATGAAAGAACTTTAGCTAGTCTCTTGTAGGTAGCATAGTCATATCAAGAAAACCCTTTGCATATTGCACATAGTTTCCTAGTATCTCACAAACACATTTTCACTTGGTGCCATGTCTACCTAAATTCATTTGAAATGTCAAAACCAAGCTGGAAAATTACAGAAAGCAGCTAGCTTACCTAGTTTTGGTGCATTAAATAGAATAAGAAACACTACCAAATTGACAACAGAGAGGACACTGCAGTTGATAAAAGCAGCTGCAAGAAAGAAAAAAAAATGGTAACTTCATGAGTTGCAATTAACTTTCTGCGAAAACATTGGCAAAAAAGACAAAGGCATTTGCATTTGAATTTGGCTACTAGTTAGCAGCAGCAGAGGCAACACAAAACCTCCAAGAAATCTCCCATTACACAAGACACATTCAAATATTCAATCCACTAACATGTACCCCGGCTAGAAGTATTTCAAACAAAGTTTACATGGATTAAGTTCTGAAAACTATCGAACATTTTCATAACCATATGTTAGGTCACTGTATTCTTCCTTAATGACGATATGAAACATATTGTGCAAATATAATACCAATCATAAAATTCAAACACAAATCTTACGGAATCTGTATAGGCATGGACGGAGCCAATGAAGGCCACTGGGGGTAGATGCCCCCACTCAAGTAATTCGTTTGTTTAGTTGCAGACTACAATTATATAATATACAGGGTTATCTTTGAAGAAAATATATGTATCTAATATCCAACATACATTCATTCATTCTACTTATACTCCATATCAAATATTATATGAGCAATAGTGCTCTTCTTCTGTTATTCAAACCGAAAAAATCATCTCCCGCCTATCATGGACTTATATTTTTCTCATCATTTTGCCACTTTTCACTACTATATTGAAATTTTTGTAACATTGAAATTGTGATATATCATCATTTAAAACCATCTTTAATATCATATTGCGTATCATATTGCGTATAATCATACTATAATAAGGTTTTCTTAGTTGTTTTCGGTTGCTCGCACTAGAAGAAATTTCTGGCTCCGTCCCTGTTATAGGCAGAGCATCAAGTTCCAATCTGTTTAAAGTCATGGCAGCAATTGGATGCATATTCTCCTGCAAAATCTCTTTGAGTGTTGTTAATCCACATCAAAAAATACCTCACCTGCTGCCAAATTTATAAACGTGCCCTTGAAGAGTATTAAGGACTCAAAAATTTTACCTTTTCCCTCGAATCCTCCATTTTCCCAGCAACCAAACACAACACACAAAAAATGAAATCTGAAACAGAAAGCCGTTAGTGTGGTGGGAGAAGGAGGAAGACGAGGTGGGTTTGGACGATGCATCTTTACCTCCGGAGTCCGCCACCGGAATGAGAAGCTCACGATCTCGCGGTTCTCTGTCTCTACTCGCCATTACGATCGAAGACGCCGACTTCTCATCGCCCATCACCAACAAACCCCCAAATTGATATACAACGCCGTTGCGAGTTCGTCGAGTAAGGGTCGCGAGAGAGGTTTTCGGACAAGGAAGGAGAAAATGCTGACTGGGCCTTTCGCAATAACCCATTTACATGGGAAGGAAAATTTGGTCATTTCAAGTTTTAGAAAAAATTCATTAGTCAGATTGTTGTGCATATAGTGTGCATGGTCTGTGCTTGTCAGAAAAATTATACTTCGGTCCCAAGATTAAGAAAATTTCGGAAAAAAATCCTATTCATATATATGCCAGTGTATCGGTTTCAATCTGGTTAATAATACTTCAACTCAACCCAACTCATTGAGTGAACGGATCGTTAGATTTTAATCCAAAAATAAATGGTTAAAATTTACAACCCAACCCAACCCAACCAAATTCGGTTTGGTTGGTCGATAAACCCACTAAAACACCCACCCCTACCCCAAATCTTCATACTCATGCCTCTTGAGCCCCTTTGTCTAGGGCTTACATGCTGGGGGTTCTTTTTCCTTTGTGTTACTGTTCTTTTTTAGCCTCTTTGTTGGTGATTGTCGCTCTTCTCACTCTTTGGAGTTTTTACTTATTAATAATTTACAACACAACAACCACCATCAAGCCTTATCTCACTAAATGGAATTAGTATACATCCAAGAACGCCTTTGAATTATACTTAATAGTAATTTGAAATCAAATCATTGAAAACTATAAACACATGCAACATTTCAATATTCCCAAATCTCACAATAAGCTAGCAATAATGTGATTCAAGCTTGCATTTGGCGAGAAATGAACATAAGACCTCTCACTTACAAGTGAAAAGAAATATTAGACTATAGTACTATGTGGTATAAGTGTTTGTAGATTTATACAAACACTTTTTGAAGAAGTGAACATGTATTTCTTCAAAAACCACTTTGAAGTAATTTTATAGAAAATAGTTGAAAGTTTGAATGAAAATACCGCTATTTTCTTAAGAAACGTACTTCTAGGCTTCTAGAAATGGTGCTTATGAGCGTAATGTTTCTTATAAAATCAGTCTTAACGGAGCAAATAACTTCAATGTCAAACAAAAGTTGTGCAGCTAAAAATGCCTACTTTATGGTTACTTTGTCTGTCTACCACGACTAGTGAGCATAAGAGCTCACCTTTGTGTTTGGATACAAAGGAAATGATTTAATTTACAAGAAAAGGGAAAAAATAAAATCAAAATTCTCTACTTCTAGCAACATTTTGCCGCCAGGCTATCCCCGGCTGAGCAGCCATTCCTCTATCTGGTTCGCCATAAAACTGACCATCTCCCTGCGCCGGTGGTGGCGGAGCCCACCAGCCTTGTTGCACAGGAAGATTAGGGTTTTGTAAGTTGGGTGCCATAGGCTGAAGGGACTCCTGCTGGTGTGCTAAACCGATACGGGGTCTCAGCTTTTGTTGCTGGGAGCCGTTCACCGGCAGCCTCGGTTGTAAACGCTGGTAATGAGTTTGGGGTTGGGAAGGTACATTAGGCTGCCACTCCGGTATGTCGTCATCATCGTCATCGTCATTCCACGGGTGAACCGAAACCCTACTTGCCTGATGAAATGTACTACCACTACTATTGTTTTGACCATATTTTTGTATCAGCTCTCTCATTTGATCTACCGGGCGAGAAGGGGCATGGGACTTGGGATAGAAGGGCTGCGCTGCCGTTCCAGGCCCCCTAGAGGAGGGCCTTCGGGCAGAAAACTGATTCGACCCACCAGCGAAATTGAATTCAGGGAGATCATCTTCATCCCGAGAAGCGCCAGGGCCAAACCCGGGAGGAACATCATCGTCATCATCGTCATCATGGGCAGGGGTAGTGTGGTTAGGAGGTAAGGCTCGGGACGGAGCCATCTTAGACGTGTAGTTTGTATCGTGCTGTCTCCTAGATGATGTAGTAGTAGTACTAGTAGTAGAAAACTGTTGCTTTTTCGAAATGTGTTTGTGGTGAGATGATTTCTGCGACGTTAATTTTCTCCAGACAATAACACCAACAAGGCCATTATCAACACTGTTAAGTGCCTCAACGTGTTCAGTCTGAATAACCTTGCTGAGCATATCTACGGTTTTATTATGGGGAGGGCAAAAATAAATTTCCACATCCGAACACGGCTCAGAAAAACCGACTCTCTCATCCGTCACGTAAGAGTCAGCCACCTGCAGGCCGGAACAAGTTTTAGTATGAAAAGAGTAGACCGGGAGTTAAAGAATGGGATTTTACAAACATATCATTGTATTGATGTTACCTCACAAATGCTTGCGGACTCCGATTCCGACGACCCCTCATCCGGAACAAAATGCACGACCTGCACAAAACCAAAATCAGTAAGCTACAGCGCTGTATCATACAATAATTGAAGTCATAGATAAATTGATCCAAAATTTCTAAAGAACGAAAGAGAGTTCATGCGTCATTTTTGGTACAATCTTCATCGTCCGAACCATTTCCCCGAAAGAGAGTTAATTAACTCCTAAGTTATTGCAAGTCATAATGCTTTTATCTAAGTTTCATTTGCCCAACAGTAATTCAAGGACAACCCAATTTAACAGGAGAGTTCTCTTCAACTCTCCAGAGTAATTCAAGCACAACCCAATTTAACAGGAGAGTTCTCTTCAGCGTAATTCAAGCACAACCCAATTTAACACTAGTGTCTTGAATCTATCTTAGAATTCGTTTCAGACGCTTCCCGGACCCAGAGCGCACCCCCCCCCCCCCCCCCCCCCCCCCCCCCCCCCCCCCCCCCCCCCCCCCCCCCCCCCCCCCCCCCCCCCCCCCCCCCCCCCCACAACCCCCAATACAATTCCATAGATCCCTGCTCTATATGTTAGAAAACTACACAATCGATTTCCCCCTTCTTTAATTTTGTATTCGCGGAGTCTAAGCATCAATAAACTGCCCAGAAAACAGACTGCACGGCATGTTAGAAGAACTAAGCGACCGCCGAAACAAACATTTTAAAAGATTTTCCTTTTCTGAGTTGTCACAACATAACGTAATACAAGAATCTTTAAACAATAAAAATAAACTTGGAGATACCATGACAGCACGACTTCGGGATTGTGGCAGCTCTTGCAGGAACTTCTCAAAAGCATCGAGTCTGACTCTTCCCTTGATATCAAGACAACCAGGCCAATCTTTTGCCGTGGCTTTTTCACCGCTGCAACAGAAAAGTTGGATTAGCATGAATCAGAAACGAAAACTTTAGTATTATACAGATCGCATAACACTTGAAAGCACTACATTGACGAACATAATTAATTTACGCATTTTCAATTTGAGTATTATCTTTAGTTTCACAAAGATGAAATAGATGAGGGAGCAGAACATAAAGTAGAACAAAAATGAACATCTACCACAAACCCATCATGGCACTGCACACAATATCAGTCCACATGTAAATTCAACTTCAAAGAGTATCCAACTAAGATAGATTAAAAGATTGTACCAATGCAGTGGTATGTAATAAACGTTGATTGAAAGAGCAGTGCACAAATGCAGTGGACAATCCGAAAATAGAATCTTCTTTAAACAAATATGTAAATGGAAAATGCAGAACAAGGAGAATAACGAATGTTTAAAAGACGTACCTTTTATAGATCCCAATAACGGAGGCCATGGGTGAGAGATTCAGTTGCAGGGAGCCACTCCAAACACGTTCACCCTTCGGTGTGACAACTAGTCTAGATACTGATTTTTCAGGACTGCCAATGGATTTCACAACAGCACTGACGTCATGGGATTTTGTATCTGCGCTATCACCAGTTTTCATCACAGAATGACTGTCAGTTATAATCCCAGAGGAACTGTCAATTTTGATCATAGGAGGACTGCCACTGGTTTTCAAGTCAGTATCTGAAGTTGTATCTGTTTTACAAATTTCATCAACCTTCAGTGGGGAGGCATTAACGGTATCCTTGGGGCTTAGAACCAAAGACTGAGACTCAGAGCCTGTCTCAGAGTCATCCTTGTCTGAGGTGCGTGTAACTTTCTCAGGGAGAATCTCGAATGGAGGCTCTGTGTCCAAGGTTTCCATGAACTCATCTAGGGAGACAATTGGAGGAAGATCCTTCGATCCGTCATCCACCATCAGGCCTTGCATTAAATCAGTAGCTTCAGTAGAAGGAATAGTAAAGGGGTAGACACTTCTGTCTTCTGTATTACTCTTCTCACCTGCAGCATTTACTTTGTCCTTGAGTTTATTAGGTTTCGAAGGGGTAGACATTTCTACCTCCTTGCTTCTTGGTTCACTATGATTATGTGATGTTGCATCAACTGGAACATCAATTGAAGCACTATCATATTGTTCAACTTCAACTTCACCCTTGTGTGTTTTTTTCACTAATCGTCTCATATCAACTTCCGAGTCTGGTAAAACAACCATTTGTGCTAGTTCTTCAGCCTTTGCCATCCGCCATTCAGAAAGTTCCTTCGAAGCAAGTTCTTCCGCAGTCATAGAACATAATTGTCCTGGAGCTATTTCTCCAGACATAACTCTCTCTCTTAGATCTGGATTATTACGATCTTTAAGATTGAACAAAAGGGACCTTCCCTTCTCTTTATACTTCTTATTCACACCTCCAAATAGTTTGAATAGTTCTGCTTCAATTCTAAAGGCCAACTCTTCTGGAGACTGAACTACTTGTTCATCTGGGGGTCCACCCAATTCCTCAAGATCCATCATCTGTTCTTCAGCAGGTTGAATTTCTTTCCTTTCTTCCATTTCCATTTCAGAATCCAAAACCCAGGACAGCCCATTTCCCTGCAAAAGTGCATCTTTGACAAACAAGTTGTCACCAAATGAAACATTTACACGAGGAAAAATATCTTTTGATTGGAATTCATTCCCATCACATATTGAGGTCAATGTGGAAACATTTGTAGTTGCATCAGCCAAAATCGTTTGGCCCGCACCTTCTCCATCTTTACTTTTCCTAATAGAACAAGTTTTGCTGGAAGGAGAATTCCCCTTAGGCTCTTCAGAGTCAGGTTTAACAGGATGGGAGCCAGGCTGGGGAGTCCCATGTGTTTGCCCCTTCTTTCCTGAATCCACGCATTTATCTTTCTGCTGATTAACCAATGCCAATGCAGCCGCCAACGATTCTCTCATCTTGGATCTTACAGATTCAAATGATTCATTTTGAAGCTTCGATGGTTGTATCCGCGGTGTTTGATTCTTTTGACTAGAAGACCACTGAGACCCAGACCTACCAGAAAAGGATTCCGTCTTTACCATTTTCTTATTCAGAACCGGCGAATGAGGTGACCCTGGCACATTCTGCACAGACTCCATGGAATCCATCTTTACCATTTTCTTATTTGGCGCTGGCAAATGAGGTGATCCCGGAGGTTTGTGCACAGATCCCATTTCTACAGCTCTTCTGTTTGATACAGGCGCTTGCTGCAACCATGGTCTATGTTCCATATATGCCACACGCTTGTTTGGCATTGACAACTGAGGCGTCGCTGGATTATTAGTCATGGGTTCCAATGGTGCCTTTCGCTTAGTCGATGACAACTGATGTGATCCCAAATTATAAGGCAATGATACAATCTCTCCCAGTTGATTGCCAGGCGTTGAAATTTTCAGTGAACCAAAATTCCCATTTGCACGATCACTGTGTCCTATTTGGAAGTATGACATTGATAAGCCATGTGACCCAGGATTGTCAGGTACAGGATCCACCATCAGTTCCATTTGCTGACTTGATACTGAAAGGTTGTGTGACTCAGGGTTACTAGATACAGAACTCATCCCTACCATTTGAAATTGTGGCATTGATGAGTCCATACCTTTCAAAATGGGGTCAATCTGACCCATTTCCATGCTTGATATTGGCAACAATGGTGACAGAAGATTGTTTGACATGCTAGATCAGAAACATCAAGTTTCCTGAAACTCAAAGCTTGCTCCTAAGAAACTGATCAGAACATGTCCTTCATTTAACAACTGAAAACAAACAAAGATAATGCAACAAAACTCAATTCGTTAAAAAATCACAGCAATTTAGACCTCAACAATACAAGAAATGATGAGAAAGGAGAGCAGAGATAAAAAAGGAACTAGTGTATCCAATCATTAGGTGCATCCGCGAGAATTGGTGGGTGAAAAGTAGAAATAAAGTTCTATCAATGTCTACTTAAAGACAAACCTAATACATAGCAACCATTTAGGGTGCCTACGGGACCCTTCTTTCAACCAGTTTAGTCTTCTAATATTGGGAGGCTCAAAATCGCTTAGTTTCAGGTCCATAAAATTGAACCTCAAGCCTTATAGTAGAACAACTTTCAGGCACCCGATCAGAAACATAAATAACTACGTCTTTCTTTATCAAATCTTTGAGACATTCATTCCGTACCTATCGGGTCACAGTTCACCACTAACAATACATGTTTAGAACCTAAGCCAAATGATGATGGATGATTTAATCTCTCAACGAAACTTCATTCGGAAGCTATCGATTGTTTGTATGATAAAACTTCTTTATAAACCAACTTCAAAACTGTGTATAAAAAACTTTCTGCTGAGTTTTATCAAGTTAATTATTTACTAATTTTACTTGGTCCCTAATTGTAATGAAAGATAAAGCTATTGCATTTGTCTTGGAACCCAGAAAAATCTCACACTGACTAGGGACTCTGGGTAGCTCGGTAGACAAGACAATCATGCTTAATTGCATTAAAATTCCGAATTCCAAAAACATTCACTTTATTAAGCTGGTATTACTAGTTGCATAAGTTCTCTATTTTCTTTCTGGGCCTAAGCACAGGCACTAATCAACAGGGGTGGAATCCCCTTTACAACCCGTGAAACCGAAACAATCACAAATCCAGCGGAGAAAGGACAAGAATTTCAAGCCAGTAGTAAGAAAAAATCTGGAAGCAGCAAGACCAACCCTCTACCAGTTTAGTAGGGGTCTTTTAGCACTCCAGTTTCCTGTGAATCAGCACCTTGTGGGCTGCATTGATTGAGCATTGAACTGGTGTTGGTTTATACGCTGAAGTCTTCATCACAGGGTTCAATAACCCTCAAAGAAATTCTTCATTTTTGCTAAAGTAAGTCCATCATTGAGAGCTTCTCATATATTGGCAAAGCAGCACCAAACATTGCATACAAAAACTGCCCAACCAGTAAATCCAACAGCTTAAGGTAATCTCTTTTATCATATTAAAAAAAGAAACAAACAATTAAAAAGAGAACGGAAGAAGAATCTCTTGCAGACACAATACACCAACTAATTACAAGCATATGCATAATTGAATCTTATTGGAAAATCTACGGAAACTTACTCAAGAAAACATAATACATACATAAACGGGTCTTTTAGGGGGAAAAAACGTGTCTTTAAATACCAAAGTCGTCAATTTTCATAAAAGTAACCCTAATTTTAAAACACACGAGCAAAACCAATTCAAGTAGACTGACCCAAACACGAAGAAAATCAAAACAAAAACAAAAAAAAAAAAAAAATTCAACATACATAACAACAACAACCAAAATTAAATCTAATGGTAATTATCTCATTCAACCCACATCAATCCGAGTCCCAAAAAGCCCTAATTTCATAACCATAACAGCGAAACCAGCACGAAACGACTGATATCAAATAAAAACGACAGCAACCATATCCAGGAACAGAAAAAATCTAATCAGCAATTAGCATCAATCTAATCTAGACCGTATACTTACATGAACAAAATCGAGCGGCGGTCGGAGAAACTGATGGGCGATTGGGCGGGAAAGCCTTGTGCGAGCTGAGCTGAGGAGGAGAGTCGGCTGGAGTGGAGGAGGATTAGGGTTTGGGTTGGTCTGGAAGCTTCGCCAGGGCGGAAAATAGAAAACCCTAATTATATAATCAAAAGAAAGAGAAATTATAAATCTGAACAGAAAATTTTATACTATCGTCGGAGGCCTCGAGGCTCGAGGGGTTTATATAATATCGTATCGATTTGGAGCGTCGAAGAGCGGTTCTGTAGAAAAAAAGGGTCAGTTGACACGTGTGACACCCGCCACCTGGATCCATGGCCCACTTTGGATAACGTCCTTGCTCATGGGCCATTGTGACCATTGGACATATGAAAATAGAAGTGTAATATCCAAACCCTTCTATTTTTATTTCGCACACATTCATTGTTAATTTCTGTTGTGTATTCTTTTTCAATTCATTCGATTCGAAAATTAAAAGCGTATGTGAGAAGTGAAAAAAAAGGTGCGTAGATAGCACATTTCATGAAAATAACATAAGAAACAACCATTTTACACAAAATTATACTAAAAATTTTAATTCTGTTATGAATAATATTTATTATGTTCTCTTCATATTCTGAATCTATATGTAGTACGTAAATAGTTGAGACCTTTTCTATGTAAATCTTAAGCTCATAAATAGGCACTCTAATAAGAAGTAAACACACTTTGATTTCTTCTCTATTTTGAATACCGTCCTACTCTCTATTTTATTTCCAACATTAGCACGAATGTCTATATATTTTAGAAAAATTAGTATCCGGTCTCTAGTTACTAATGTTTATTGACTAAAACCTTATTAGTTTTCAGATTTTGATTCAAGTCATTAGCATTAATGTAATAATGAATTTACATGTCAGTTACATAACTTTTTTAAAATAAAAATTAATAATTGATTTAGAATTATAATACTCACACCTTTATTAAACTCCGAACTAATTTTCAATTCAAAACATTTCCAAAATAAATAAAAAATTAGAATAAGTTTGTACCCATTAGCTTTTTTTTTTTAAAAATGTTTTCAATTTTTTAATCTTATATGTACCCATTCATGTAATTTTCTCAAATTTTAAATCTTAAAATGTAATCATTCTTAAATATACCAATTTATAATATGTAAAATGTACCATTTCTTTCAATAAAATCTATTCAATTTTTTTTTTCTAATCCATTTTTAAACTTATATGGGTACCTTTTTTGTTCTTTGATTTGAGAATGCATCGTTTAATCGAAGAAATTTACTAATGTTATTAAGCCTAATATCTTCTTCTTCTTTTTTTTTTTTGTGATTTTGAAAAATGTACCCATGTTTTTATATATATATATGCACACCCAATACTATAATTTATATTTTAATATTTTCCCCACAAATTATGGCTTTTTATTTAAAATTTCATTAATATAAACAACTATAAAATATAGTAACATGCATAAAAATAAATTATCACATTAATTAGAAATAAATTATCACATTAATTTCAGGAACTTTGATTAAAAATTGAAAACCTACTAGGTTTCAGTCAAAAAATATTTATAGCTAGGGACCGCATCTAAAGTTTCCTATATATATATATATATATATATATATATATATATATTGTTCTATGTTAAGAGAGGATCATGTACCACGACGATATACACAATCTGAATGGTGTGATAATTCATTTGTAAACTACCAAATGTGTGATGTGGAATGCACTCATACTATTATTCGTTCTCTTTTATGGATGAAAGCCTCCATATTTTTTTTATTCCACACGATATTAGGTTGCAATATGATAAATCTGTCCATGAATTGCAACATGTGTTATCAATCATGGTATGATATTGATACATACAATTCCAAGCAAGAGTCATCAATCATTCATTGAAATATTTATCTCTATTATTTTCCTTTTGAACTAGAGTTATCATGTGGTTTAGAGTTTCTTGCACTTAAGCATTAGACTTCAACATGCTCTTGAATTCCTTTTCTTCTCTTGAGTTTTCACATATCCAAATTATATATGTGAAACTAAAATTTTATTTCGGTTTAATTTCGATTATTATTGTGTATGAGTTTATCATCCTTTGAATATGCAATTTCAAATACCAATATCCGGAAGTAATTATTTTATTATATGTAAAGACAATGAATAAGTCTACTCAGACATAAGTGACCTTCTCTATTATCGTTCGATTATTTATCAGTTTGCAAGTACTTTGATCATCATTTTAATAAGTTAATTTGTATACCTATTGACATACCAATTGCTTAACAGGTTTGTACCTTCTCTAATGGAAATATTGGTCCATTGTATAAATTTCATTAAACTACTTTAACTATGAGCACATGATAAGTGGCATTTCATGTCCTTTATTTTAATAACAATAAAAGAACTCAAAGTTTGTTGGTTTAATTTCCATGAAGTGATGATAGACATTCATGTAAAAGATGAGGACCCGCAGTACCCTTTAACTCTCATCCTATAACAAGAATGTGACTTCAACCTATTGACCTTTGGTTGTCATCCAATGATCTGTGCGAGGCCTACAACCCCATATAATATGAATTTAAAAGCTCATATTGATACAACTTAAAGCCTGAAACTCATTACACCCATAACCAAATGGTTGTATGAATGTGTCAGACTAATGGATACACCATAATATGAGGTTTTTTTTATTTTTTTATTTTTATTATCGACACTCATAATAAATTATTTGTCCCTTTCTTTCTAGGAATGAATTTGTACATCGTAGATGATAAATTAGTCGATTGAATTGGAATTCCGCGTTTGTTGATTCTAAATGATTGAGGGTCTAAAGTTCCCTGAGTTTTCATTGCATAACAAAACCAAACAAAATTTTTTGGTAGATGTACTGTCACGCCCTGACCCGCGAATAAGGACTATTCACGAGGTATGGTGTGAATCATATCTTAGCTATGTAAATAAGTTCTATAACCAAGACATGGTGAAAAAATTAAAATAAAATTATTTGAAACTGATTATACAACACATCGTATAACAAATTTTACATAATAAAAGTTTGTGTTTACAACATATAATTTATCGAATACGCAACAGAATAAAACTAGTGCACACTTTCTTTACCAAAAGTACAAACAAATTAATTGACATGAGTAAACTTTGAAAGTACATAAAATATATGCAAATTGAGAGTGAGTACATTCATGAATCTCATTTGCATGTATTTTATGTATTTGTAAGGTTTACTCATTTCAATTAATTTGTTTGTATTTTTGGTTATGAAGTAATTGTGCACTAATTTTATTCCGCTGCATATTTGATAAATTATATATGGTAAACTTAAGCTTTTATTGTGTAAAATTTGTTATACAATGTATTGTATAATCAGTTCCAAATAATTTTATTTTAATTTTTCCACCATGTCTTGGTTATAGAACTTACTAGCTATAAGTACATGCGCGTTGCTATGAGTTTTAAAACATGATCAAATTGTGTATGAAAGACTTGAAAAATGGTTTTGGAAAATAGCAACAATATTGATAACAAATAAATTGGAAAAGTTTTACAGAGAAAAGGTTCAATTTTGTGAAATTAGGGACAAACATGAAAGTTTTCAATTGCATTACAACAATTAGAACTATGTTTGGATCAACACCATCATATTTACATAAAAAATAAAAAATAAATAAAAATAAAAAAAAGAGTAGATACTTTCACATGGTGATACAAAAAATATAACAGCTATATATGCTAGCTTAACAGTTCCATGTGCCCTAAAAACTAAACCAGCTTCTGTAAACAAAAAATTAACAAATGTTGGTATATGGAGGTCTAGTTTTGAGGAGAAAGAGATGAAACTACTAAACATGTTGGATGTTATTGAAGATATGGTAACAAAAGATGCAAAATATCCTTCACCAGAGCGGGAAAAGTGTTGGTGCAACAGTTTCATGAGTGTTAACATTGACAACCCAAGTTGTACAAACATAAAAAGAATGAAAAGCATTTAAAAAGTGATTAGAGTCACATTGAGGCAGATTTGAAGCAAAAAGTTGACGAAAATGAAAACATACTTACTTAGTCATTTTTTGAAAGAATGGTATTTGTTTTTGTAGGAGCTGGAGGCGATTTTTGTTTCCAGTGATTTGATAGGAATTTTATCAAATTATCTTAGGTAAATTTCAGAAATTTCTTCTGCTTCACTATTTTAAATGTGTATACCAAATAGTACATTTGATTGGACAAAAAAGAGAAAATATTGCCTAAGTATAATTGATTGTATTGTTCATTTGGAAAATTTTTCTTTAAAAAAAAAATGTTTCACAAATATATTTCAAACAAAGCAAGGTCAGTAGAAGATATAAATTTTTTGAGACAAAGAAGCAAAACGAAAGCATTAGATTTGATGATAGTATGGAAGTCGAATGCAAACCTCTGTTCACTGCCAGTAAAAAGGGCTCTCCTCACATATTCCCTCTTTTGTTTATGTGATTGATCGCTTGTTTCAGGTGGTGAGGTCGAAGATGATACCGTAGTGGATGATACTATGCTTTCTCTTGGTAGCATTTGCGGGGTTATTGGTTTGATAGTTGCATTGCTAGAGACATTATAAATTAGCACATTGCTTGAGTTGAAAGTGTTCCTTCTAATTCCAAATCGCAAGTGAAATATCTTCTTTTGACCAATCAGTCTCAAAAACTCATTTGGCAACTGATGTTGGTGGTCAACCAATCTCTGGTTCAAGACTAACTTTTTGCAAGGCATACCAAACAGTTTTTCTCCAGACTTGCCAATTATCAAAGCACTGATTTCATTAGTGTTGTCTTCAAGAATTAAATTAACTTTATACCTACATTTAAAAATCGAATTGCATCAGTTTTTCAAGTTTTATAACTGGGTCACAACCAAAATAATAAATTTGAAACAATAGAGGTTACATATCTGAAGCAATTTTTTATTTGTAAAAGAACAACGCAATGCCAAAAATGCAAAAAATTAAATAATAATAAAAAACAAAAAACAAAAAAATGTGGGAAAACAATAAACTTGTATATTAAACATTACCAAGGTGTTGGTATATGGTTGAGGTGTTTCTGACAAATGAGTTGTCCAGTTGTTGGATCTTTTTGCATTTGCTTGACACAATTAGAGCAAGAACTATACCACCAATTATAAAGTGTGTCAAAACATTTGATTGATGTCATTTTGTAAAATGTTTTGTCACACATATCCAGCAAAAAAAGCAAGAACAAACTTAGTTTTTGTTAAATATGTAACAACGTAAATGCTTGCTGTTAAAAAAAAGATACCAGCAAATAAATTATTTTTTATACCTTATACAGATCAGGATCTAAAAAGGCCAACTCATCTATTGTTACTTTTCTTGTAGTACACAAAACTTCAGCCTCATTCATTTGTCTTGAAAAAAGGGGCAGTACTTGTACAGGCCAAGAACCTGTAAGTTTAAAAAGATAGTAACCAATTTTGAAAAATGATTTCTTTGTAGGTATAAATAGGAAGCACAATTATAGATGTCCACTCACATTGATTTGTATGAGCTAACCTCTGGGATGTTTGGGTCAATGAAAAAAAAAGTGCGAAACCAGTACTGTTCAAGACGACATTGTCTGTAGATCCCAAAAATAATAACAAATATAAAACAAACACGAGTAAAATATTAGAGATGAGTAAATATATTCAATTTGACAATAGATGTTTAAAAGTGCGAGAAAACTTATAATCAATAGGTTAAGAGTGTGGGAAAATAATTTGAACATGAATGGCTAAAAACTAAACCAACATATAAGAAACAAAACAAACGCTTTGTCATAAAGGATAGGAATGTAATACACTAAAATTACATAATGATAAAATGCTAGCATAGTGTATGGCAACTAATGTAAGAAGATAATAAAATAAAAATAGAAAAAGTGGGTTTCAGTTAAATCAGCTACCTAGATAAAGCTTGACTTTTAAACTTTTGAATACAACGATAATAGGCAACGATAAAGAAGAAAAAGCTTTTACAACATCTTCCCACAACGTAGTAGACGACTTTTCTTTTCTGTACAGAAAACAAATAAAAAACAAAGATTAAATTTTTTTTCCCACCCTAACAAATGAAATGTTGTTAATAATTTAGAACTGCAGTATTGAGACAAAAGAATAACCTGATATTCTCAATGTGCATATCAAACTTCTAGGCTATTCTTTGATTAATTTGTTTTGGTTCCAAGTGTTGGACCACAGTCAGATGGCCAATTACATCTTATAATTTAAAAAGTTAACACAAAGACTATGTCAAAATTTATTTCATTAAAAAAAAAAAGAATGGAAATGTTTTTAGTTGATGCACACGTAGACAAATAGATATATATGTTTTAATATTACTTGTAAGAATATCATATCTATTCAGACACGAATAAATCATGTTAAAATCTAGCAGGAAAAATCGATGTCACGGAATGGGTGGAAAAACAGCAGATAGAATTCTAAACACTGTTTTAGAAGTGAATATAAGCTAGGTATTATGTGGCAGGCTTTATACTGCCCTCTGATCTTGATCGTTTGAAAATTCATGACTTCGTAGCAATCACCAATTTGAATCTTTGAGGCAACGACTTCATAATCAATGTCTAATGCAGAAGCTTCAACCTCATTGTTCTTCACAATTAATCACATCTGAAAAGAAAAAAAAAAGCAGAATTAAGAAGGTAATCAACAAAAAAAAAAGGATAAAAAAAACATTATATTTTGATACATGGAGATTAAATCGGCACAATCAGTAAATAGATTCATTGAATGTGACATCCCACATCGTCCAGGGGAAATATCCTTATATGTAAATTCCCATCTCTACTTAGCACGAGACCTTTTGGGAGCTCACTGGTTTCGAGTTCCGTTGGAACTCCGAAGTTAAGCGAGTAGCGCGAGAACATTCCCAGGATGGGTGACCCATCGGGAAGTTCTCGTGTGAGTTTCCAGAAACAATACCCTGAGGGTGTGCTGGGGGCCCAAAGTGAACAATATCGTGCTACGGTGAAGTCGGGCTCGGAAAGTGGTCCCGTTCGGACCGGGATGTGACAATTTGGTATCAAAGCCTAACCTTGGTCGTGGTGCGCAAACGAAGACGTCGGGCCTGTAAAGGGGGTGGATTGTGACATCCTACATCGCCCATGGAAGTGATCCTTATATGTATATTTCTATCTCTACCTAGCATGAGCCCTTTTGGGAGCTCACTGGCTTCGGGTTCCATTGGAACTCCGAAGTTAAGCGAGTAGCGCGCGAGAGTATTCCCAGGATGGGTGATCTATCGGGAAGTTCTTGTGTGAGTTCCCAAAAACAAAACCGTGAGGGTGTGGTTGGGCCCAAAGCGAATAATATCGTGATACGATGGAGTCGGGCCAAGGAAGTGGCCCCGCCGAGCCGGGATGTGACATTGAAAATATGTAAACCATCAGAAGGAAGATTTATAAAGCACTTTATACATGCATAAAAATGAAACAAAAAAGAAAATTATAAAAACATAAATACAAATAAACAAATTAATAAACGAAAAGAAAACCAATGACATAACGAGTACTGTTAAAATTCCTAATTAAAATGATAAGACAATGATCACTGACTGTTTCATCAACTACAATACAGTGTAATGTCACGTATTTTTTAATAGTTCCAGGAATGCTTGATTTCCAGACCCTACACACACGAATCTTTATTTTGTCTACTTTAGTGTAGGGACATAACTCAGCATAGGGGGACCTTCAAGGTTTCCATTTAACCTACTAAAAGTGAACATAAATTTTACAAACTTAAGAATCACCATAAAACAAATTTGAAAACAAATACGAAAGAAAAGACTGATTTGTTTAAAAAAAAAAAAAAAAAAAAAAAGGTGAACTTGGCTTATCAACCAGAGGATTTACCATTTAAATGCAGTTTGTTACAATAGGAAGATGAACAAATTCAAAGAAACAAATGCAGCCGCAATTTGGAGTTACATAAGATAAAAATTAGCAGAAATTGAAAAGTAAATACGTCAGACAATGATAACACCAATCTTCAGAGTTAATTTAGTATGAAACCTATAGTTTGCAAACATTAGTAAAGCCAAATCCCCAGCTGATGTTTAATGTGGAAAACACTTGAAAAACGAAATAAAAGTTTGATCATCATTTAATGGAGAAAAAACTCGATAGAAGTACATAAATACACAACTAAAACAGTTGATCCATGCTACTTGTAAATAGGTGCATATATACTTTTCTTTCCTTTTGACACAAATATATTTCTAGCTATTTTTATGATCTAAAATGCAATTTATAAAATATAAACATACAAATATTATATCTCCTAAAAACCATAATAACACCAATCACTTTTTTTTGTACAAATAAGGTGATCATTGCGTTGAAACACATCATTTCTTCTGAGTTTCTTTTTTCTCATTTTGCCAACATTGATACCATTCATTACTCACTCAGGCAATAACTCACAACAACACCATATCTATAGCAGTTCACATGTTTTAAAATCAGTTTCTTACAAACAAATACAACAACATCATTACCAACCTCATTACCAATAAAAGACACATTATGTTAAGACACCAAAAAAAAAAAAAAAAAAAAAAAAAAAAAAAAAAAAACTAAACACAACTCCACACACGATTTTCACAACATAGAAAAGCAAAAGAAAACCTACAAGTTCATTCTTAAAATAACCACCTAGCTTAGTTATATAAATTTTTAAAATCAAATTACACAAACAAATATGAATTACATCTCACTGTCATCAAACCTATCACCCAAAATGAACACCGTGCTCAGCAAAAGGGATACTTAAATAAATAACACTTTTAAGAATTCAAATAAACAGCACTGCATCTGAAACACTTCACACTTACAAAACCTGCATGACCTTTAAAAAATCTCAGCACCTCATTCAACATAAGTTTTTTACAAAGTGCATCATAAAAACTTGGATCCCATAAGAAAATACATGATGTTACGTTCAAAAGTTAGAGCAAGAAAGAAGATAAGTTTGACCTAGTTCAAATTCCACTCATCACCAAATAGCAAAAAAAATTTGTCAAAAATTAGTACTTTCTCACAAAATCTTTATCTAAGACGAATATATAAAATTTCCTATTTAAAAAAAAAATGCTAAACAGAATAGATAACAAAGAGCTAAATCCATGTTTTTTTATACGAAGAAAATAATAACACAGCTAAGGTAATATTGCTATACCTTTTTCATCTCACTTTTTTATCTGAATAATATATGCTAACATAAGAAATATAAAAAATCAAATACCCTTATGTTCAATCTAATTGGATCTTTATTATGCTAGGTGTCTTACTTACATGGAAAGCATCTGAAAACTTGAAGTATCAAAACTAACAAAAATTTGACCAAATGCATTGATAAACCAAAAGGTAACAAAACTTATATCAATTTAATTTTTCATCTCAAAAAACAGCTCAACAACAAATATTTGTAATGATCTAAACAGTCATTAAGTTAAAGAATTAAAAGCAAAAATCAAACCATATAACATTGCACAATCGAAACGATATCCACGAAACCAACACAGGAAAATACGATTGAAAATCTAAGTGAGACCAGAACAACACCATATCTCAAAAGCTTGATATACACACTCATAAAACCAAAACAGTTACACTAACGTTGACAAAGGTTCTTTCTTAGTATAAGCATGCCATCACAAGTTAAAACCCTTCATCACTTTCATCAGCACATGTCAAGGAATTCATTTTGAAATCCCAAATATGCAAATGTTAGTTTGCTAATTAACAAAGCAATACAAAGATTCTAATAGATCTAAACACACAGGTCTTAGTTTGCTAATTAACAAAGCAACATAGAGATTTAATACATCCTTCTTCAGTAAATAAAAACAAAACTATAAAATCAGTTGATCACTCTAGGTAATTAACAAACCAATACAGAGATTTTAACATGTTCTTCTTTAGCCTTTAAAATTAAAACTATAAAATTGATGCATCACACTTTGTTGAGTCTGAATCATCACAAAAATTTTCAATCAAATTTCAATGGTAATCAAGTCACATTCTCCATTAATTGAATATCATTAACCAGGATTTGATTCCAATTAAAAAACAAAGAAAAACAATCAATAACATCTTTTATACCTGTAATAAAGTGATCTATCTTGAAAGGGCGCTTGCTTGGGTTTGAAATGCTTTCTAGCTGATTCATATGCTTCACTTTTCTCTCAGTCTACATCATAGTAAATTGCCTATTAGTTAAACACCATCCAAGCATATAAGATCCACGAAAAGTAACATAAAGAATTGCTACATAGATCAAAAGAAATCCACAAAATTTCTCTAAAGATTTTGGAGAACACAAAGACCAATTTCCCCTAGTTTAATTTTGATAAATGCAAAATAAACACAAACAACTTAGCCGAAAACACCAACGCAAAAAAACCTAAAAACAACACGATCAAAACCTCGAAATCTCTTAAAAGGTAGAAAACATAAACAAAAACACGAATACACACATATCTCAATTCTGAAAACAAACACGAAACCATTATTCACCAAGCTCTTCCTATCAAAAAGAACAATAGCCTGAGAAAAATATATAATGGATTCCCATTATAAAACTCTATTCTCTGTATATAAATTCAAGGTAAGTGTGTAAAGCTTGTCACTTAGATTCAATTGGGATTTCAGAAAAAAAAAAAAAAAAAATTATTATCAATCACATCTTATAGTGCTCAATCAAGACTTACAACACACAAAAATAAAAAATGTGCAAAACCCCAAAAGGGAGAACGCAAAAACACTCACCTTTAACATACGCAGCTTCCAAACCTACACACAAAAGCACGACATCGCCAAATATTAGTTTCCAACAAAATGAAGAACAAAACCACAGAAAAAATCCAGACTAAACAAAATCGAAATCCCATACCCAAAAACTAAGGATAACAACAAAACCCCCAAATTTTGAAAGCACATATCTAAATAGGAAACCCATTGGCAGAATTGAAAATCACAGAAAAGAAAATCAAACTCCTGCACTAAAAAAAGCAAAGAACTCACCAAGATAATTTGCTTCTGCAAGTTCAAGATCCGTGGAACCCAACCCACCAACCCAAATAAGCTACCAGTTGACAAATTTTCCCCCAACAAAGTGACTTCACACTAGCAAACACAAAGATCAGCAAAAGAAAAGGCACCAATGGTTCAAAGATGGCAGAAAACGATAGGGGAGAGCGGGAGAAGTCGAGAAAGGAACGAAGAAAAATGAAAGAGCAAGGAAAAAAAGGAGAGAACAAAAGTAGAAAAAGGTTGAGCAGTCGATGATCAACACGCGTCTAACATGGACAAAACTGTGATTTTTGCACCCCAAAGACCAACGAGAAGAACAACCGGAGGAAGAAGCGAGGGACAAAAACGTCCATGCACTGGTCATCCACAGTGCCCACCTCGGTTGAGTTTTAGTATATAGGATTTCTATAGTTAAAATATGGCTCACACCCTAACTTGTGAATAGTCCTTATTTGGGGATCGGGGCGTGACATGTACTTATGCTATTACAATTAGGCATCGAGCATGACTCTATCATACACAAAACATTTGGTGTATTTTTAGCATGTATTGATTATAAACAAGGGACAAATGGTTGAAAAAAATTGGCATTTCTCCCATGATTAATTGTGTACTTGGTAGATCTAACCCAATTGGAGATTTCAAACTTATTCTTCTCAATGAAAAATCATTTGATTCCATTCTTAGTGGTTGAGTTTCATCTCCCAATTTTTTTGACTTAGCAAGACATTATTGGTTGAGCTATCTCATAATAGTTTGTCCTTTCATTTTATTTAGGTTACTTATTTGTTAGCATTTTTTTATTATGTTAATTTCAAATTTATTTATTTCAATGCGTATATTATTATGAATTTGTTAATGTGAGAACCCGTATTTTTTGATTTTTTTTTTTTCAGCTTGAAGGAGCCACAGGAGAACTTATTTTAGATTGTTTCATCTTTTGGTTCGACACATCAGTATTAATAGGCTTTTAATTTAGTTAGACATTTTAGTTAGACATTACCTACTATCCTAAGCTTAACCGATTTGTAGGCCCATTTTCTTACTTGCATGGCGAATCCAAATTGGACTAAATAACCTACAAGGCATATCCCTTTTTCATTGTAACTGACTTTTTTTAATTCTTATCACGTCCAAGATATCTTCAGTAGATATGCCTTGTGAGTACCCTACAAGGTTGAGTATTGGAGGCTATTAGTTAGGCGTGGCTTGTTTTGGAGAAATTCAAATATAGAGTTTGAAACTGTCAAAACTACATTGCATGGAGTTTTAAACTTTAGCAGGAGGTGTGATTGCAGCCATGCTTATATTGGTTCTACATGCAGCGCCACTTAGCAAAGACGTACATTGTTCCTATATATTGGTCTCCTTCTGATTGGACGAATTAGAGCCTTTGAGTAGCTGCCTCCTATCCCTATAAATAGGAGCATTGCTCCATTATTTTTAGAAATAGGGTAGCATGCAATGCATGAAGTACGTAGAAGTTGGTGTATATATAACATGTATGAATGTGTGTGTGTGTGTGTGTGTGTGTGTGTAGAGAGAGAGAGAGAGAGAGAGATTAGGTAAGAAAAGAGAGTGGAAATTATATATCGAGTTGGTTGTGATCAACTTCGTAGAGCTTGGAACTTGGTTGGAATACAAGGTTTTAGGCTTCGATTCAAGGTAGGGGTTTCTTTGGGAACTTATCATTATTGGGATATTTATCTTGTTAAAGCTTTGTGAAATATGTGTTATACTTTATATATGTATAATTGATATAATTATTTACATTGGAACTTTGACACATTATTGTTATTTTCGAGAATGTGGATATCGTTATAATGTTGATTACATGCATATGTCATTGCATATTGGAGTAGATGGACTTTGTTGGAATATTTGAGATTGGAATATGGAAATGGAACTATCTTTTGTGTGGTTGAGTTCAACTCTCGTAGGGACTAGCAAATGTGGCAAAAGTGAACTTATAGGAGTGGTACAAAGTAGTGGGGACTTTGGCGACCGAGAGAAGAACAAGATAACCAACAAAAGGGGTACTTGGGATGATTGAGTTGGGTGTCAATTTATAATAGAGTTTTCAGACCACCGCTATTGTGGTAAAATGACTGGTATGGGACATGCAGTTCCACGTGTTTTATTATATAGATTAACAAGTTGGGTAAATTGAAGTTAAGCTGCATTCATGGAATATAATTTATGTTTAATAACGTGTTATAATTGACTACTTGTTGCATGACACTCGGTTTAGCCTTGACAATTATCCTTGATAAGACTTATGTCCCTACTGAGCTGTGGTTTCGCTCACTCTATACATTTTAGACCTTGCAGGTTATGTACAAGAATAGTGATGGGTACACCTTGTAAAGGTTTTGGAGTTATTTTTATACGAGAAGTTTGTTTTTTGTTTTTCGTTTTATTTTTACTTTTACTCGCGCATCGAGCACGTGGTTATTTTTCTGCTGACCCCAGGTCCAGGGCATGGTAGTTAATCAATATTGTTTTTATTTGAGATGCTCATACTTTCTCTAATGAGTTGTATTGCCCAATCATACAAATAAGGTACGCTAATATTGTCGTGAGCCAGAAGTTCATTGACCAAATGATGGCATGATTATCATGGCCATTCATGATCCATAATGATGGGTTGAATTCTAATAAATTTGTATGAACATTTTTTAGGCCTCAACATAGTGCATTGAGCACATCCTTGCAATGATTGCTCACACAGAAATTGATCCTCAGACCATCTAAAGTTTAACCTTGGACCCTCATTTTTTGCTCGCAAATTAAAAAGCATATGTGTGTGCTTAATCAAAATCTAATTATGGACTACTTGACCAATGACCTAGATGTAACTACAAAACGGTCATAATATTATTCGCTTGCTATTAAAAACGTAATTCTCAAATTTTGTAGGCTATTTCATGTCATTTGGGATTAATTTTGAGCATAAATTTTTGTTATGGCTTATCTATATGATTACCTTGAATGTGATTGGAACGACTTCCTAAATCTCATTCATACTCTGACCAAAGATCCTTATTTTAAGGTTAGAGATCCCTTGTTGTACATTCACATGCTCACATGATTTAACCCAACTATATTGTGGACACCCTCAAATGGAATGCCTTTAACAAAGTCAAATACTAAGGACCTAACCACAAAACAACTATGATGTCTTAGCTCAAAGGACTACTTTGCATTATCCTAACCATGAGTTCTCATATGACATAAGTATGAGAACTCCTTGTTGTTCACATTCAGCGGACTCACTCTCTATTTAGCACTTCCATACTTATCTTCGTGTCATCCACACTAATGACTTGAGACCAGTTACTATCTTGTGAGAGAAGACATAATATATGTATTAATTAAAGAGAAAGATCTCATGATCAGGAACATTTACGATATGTGTATTAATTATTATTGATCTCTCCGGATCGTCAATGCCCAATTGACAATCTTATGATCAGGAACATTTAGGATATATGTATTAATTAAAGAGAAAGGTCTCATGAATCTAACTTCTTTATATCACATTCTCTTAATTACATATTTATGTGACTTATCGTTTAAGTGGATAACATTTAATGAGACGGCTTTAAAAATAATCTTTCCCCTACATCAAACTAGATTAGTTAAAACATGAAATGTTTATAAAGTAATCATCTTATGATTGGCTTTAGGGCACATTTCCAACAATTGTGCACTCCAAAAATTTTATATTTAGAGAGAAAAAAGTTTACACTTATAAAGAGTGCATAATGAGATCTTAAAATGATAATAAAAGCAGTATTTCAATAAACATAAAAGATTTTATGGCAAAAGTTTTTGGGGGGCCCTTCAAATTTGGGCCATGATGTGATTGCATCTTTCACTCTCAACGAAAGCCACCTCTGATTCAAAACACGAGTTTGGGGCACCACATGTCATAATAAGAGTGGAATGACGCTTAAATTATGGTGGACTAGCTCATGTTCTTGGCACATGAAAAATCTCTCAAGGTTAAAAGCATATAGGTAACCGAAGCCCAATCTACCTTCTTGCTTTCTTGCTTTATGTTGCATAACTCACCTACGTTAGTCAAAGTTTTTTTTTTTCATTTTTGGACAATGCTTGTGTTTCCCCTTTAAAACTTGTGTTTCCCCAATAGAGGAACCTACTTGTCCCTTCATTATGATTAACGAATCTTTACCGTTCGAACATCATAATCAAAACTATTCATTCTCTTTATTATACAATTTGGAGACCTTTTAGTTATACATCCATACATGTCAAACCAATCAACGTTTTTGGTAAAAAGTAGCATCTTCATGATGAACCGTCAAATTTTTTATGCATATAAATGGCTAAAAGAACTCCAAATTGAATAATTTTTTTCATGTATAATCTTTAGATGATGATGAAGAGAATGAACAGTTCTAATTATGATATTCGGATGGTAACTATTCATTAATCGTAAGTTGGGGGGGGGGGAATAAGTAAGTTTTCTATAGAGGGAACACATTATCTTTTTGTTTACTCACATTACTTCCTGGCTTTGCTAACAACTAATCAAGTTCTTTGTACATTTTTCTTAGAAATTAAAATTGTTTCAGGATATATAATAAAGGGGTGGTATATGCTAATACCACAATTAAAATTTATTTGCATGCATTAGTGAAAAAGATTAAGACTGTGTTTGTGTGAAGGACTCAAGGATTGCAACAAGTAAAGAAGAAATAGATTACAAAGGGAATTAAAATGGACTAAATAATCAATACAAAGGCATATATGAGAAATTTTCAAATGACTTTTTTCCTATTTGCAAATCTTTCTCATGACTTTGTAATGCTCATAAAGTGCATTTTTGATCTTATCAATCTGACATTTTGTGATCTATTCCTTACTAACTTGACCTCAATCTCTTGTGAGTTGGAATTCATTTTAAAAATCTGAGTGGTCAATCCATCCTTATAACTTTTAGGGTGCGTTTGTTGCACCGGACTATCTTGGACTAGACTAACTTCAGAGACTAAGCTGGATTGGCTTGGCTTGGACTAAGCAGTACTAAAATTATGAAGCGTTTGGTGCAGTACCGGACTAGCCAGGACTAAATTTTTATTTTTTATTTTTTATATTTAATTATGAAAACTTCCACTTTCTTGTCTAAAAAACATTTTTTTTAAAGAGATAGAAGATACTTTATTGAAAATATCATTCATCTCACAAACAAAACGGGGAAAGGATTTTGCTTTTACATGAAAGTCTACATATTTTTTTCACCATCATGAGCTATCAATACATATACAACTTGCAACTGCTTGTGCTTAAACTTGAGTTCATTCACATATTCTTCAATGCCCTTCAACTAATTATGTAGATCTTGAGTGTTTCAATTGCAACCGCACAGGCTACGGGGTGTCCAGAATATGTAATCCCATGAGAAAAAGAACCAAGCTTGCTGCTCTGAGAGGATATGACACCTGAAATTTCTGGGCTCACAAGAATGCTGATTGGCATATATTCAGAAGAAGAGTCTTTGCCACAGATACAAGGTCTAGTTTAATGTTGTATTTGTCACTACTATACATGCAGCCAAGCCTTCCAAATGCACAGATTACATCGCTCCAAATGCACAGATTGCATCATCATAAATAGAATGCAACAATTGTCTATGGTCCCGCAGTGTGCAATACAAATGGAGCTGGAAGATCAAACTTTTGTGGGCAGTCAGTGTGCAATACAAGGGGAACCATAAAGAGATGCTCATGCAGACTTCTAGATACAAATGCCAACTAGAACACATGAGCAATGAACGATAATTTGGTAGATAACATTTTGAGTGTTGTTTATTAACACTAAAGTTAAACTAATGCCACCAAGGACAACTCAATTTATGTCGGTATTCAAATTTAAATCAATTCGAAGATTCTAAAATACTAAAACAGCAATTGGCTAATTCAAATGTGGAACCAATTACCTATTTGAGGAGAGTTTCACCGTCATTGACAATCTTGGAGGTCCATACTTATTTTGCAGCACCACATTCCTTCCCTTTGAACCCAATGTAACTCCAACCAGCTCTGCCACCATGTCCACCCCTACCTGCACCCACCACCGCCACCAATTCAACCATTAAATTAACCCACTTCACATCTACCTACATCATTCAAATTTAAATCAATTCTAAGATTCTAAATTACATACAGAGCATCAATTCTAAGAATCATACACAAGCAATTGTACCTCTCACAGAGCTGCAGAACCGTGTCCCTGCAAAATCAGCGGTTCATAAGATGTAGGTGATACTGAATGCAATCAATTACATGCAAGACTGTCAAGTTCAAGCAATTGCTTAATCCAAAATCTCTAAACACAAAAATACCCAATCGATTGAGCAAACACCATGAGCAACAACAAAAAACAGAGGGATAATTTCCACTGAAAGATAATAAAAGATTTACCCTCACTTCCTCATGCTCTGAAATGACGAAAACATAGAAACCCAACAAGAAACCCCTCAGACTTCCAATGCCAAAACCGATGATTCCAAAAAAATTGAAACTCCCATTTTTCTCTACTGCTTCAAGAATCTGCAGACAAAAAAAAAAAAAAAAAAAAACAAAAAGAACAATAATGGAATTTTAATATCCAATAAGATTTATCCAAATTAACATAAATTTATTAAACCCCATTAACGAGATTCGTCCAAATTAACAAAATTTAACCTAAATTGAAATAAATTCATCAAATACCATTAACACAAACCTAATTAATAGGCTGTTGGGGTTGGAGAATGGGTCGTTGAGGGGGGCCTTTGGCGGCGAACGCAGTGCTTATTCGCCCACTTGAGTAGGCTTTTGGTGGCGAACGCAGAGTACGTGGCTGGAAACCCACAAGGGAGCAGAAGACGAGAGGGTGAAGGTGCGACGAGGAAGAAGAAGGCGAAAGGGTGACGGGGCGAAGGCGCGAAGGAGAAGGGAGAGAGCAGGACTAGCAGTCCGCTCGTTCTGGAGGGTTCTCGCTAAGACCTTCTAGCGAAGGTTTTAGTCGACGCGAGTCCCAGTTAATACCATTAAACATAGTCCTTGTTGCTAACAAACATGGACTTGGACTAATTATTAGTCTAGTCTAGTCTAATAAGGTTTAGTGAAGGTAAACAAACACACCCTTAGGGTATGTTTAGGTTATGGACTTTCAAGTCTAAATTGATTCAGGTCAAGCTAGAAACGAATAGATTACAAGTTTCGTTTCATAATTCTTTTTGCCCTCAATTAGCCTAAATGTCTTGGAGCTTAGATGCCTTTCACCCAAACATAGTCTTAAAAGGGTGCGTTTGTTGCACCAGACTAAATTAGACTGGACTAGTTTCAGATTGATTAGACTAGACTAAATTAGATTGACTTGGTGAAGCGTTTAGTGTAGTGTTGGACTACAAATAAAAAAAATACTATATAATTTTTATTAAATTAAATTTCTTTTCTATCAAAATTAATTTCTTCCTACAATCATTCTCCCAACAAACTCTGGTCTTCCCCTTCTCGATTTCTCCGGCAAGCTCCTCCACTTACCTTTTTATCTCCACAATATCACCATCTTTCTCACTTATTTTATAGTTATCTTAACTTTTAAAAACTAATTAATTTTCTCTTTCAATCTTATTAGCAACCAAATCGCGTGAAAAATGAACAGATTTCCCCAACCTGTAACCAAATAATCAAAATTGAACAGATCTCCCCAACCTTCATCGTCAACCTCTCGATCTACTTCTTGTCAGCGACGCCCATTGACGGTAGCATTGCCAGGTCCTCCATTAACTCGCGATTTTGGCCTATAGTAGAGCCACTTCAGCTCTCCCAGGTTAGGCCATGGAAAAGCAAGCACCGCCGATGAGCTAGCCATAGTGACGACATAATAGAAGAAGAATGTAGAGTGGATGTCAAGGTGTAGCAAGCATCAGCCTCATATTCCATTTTAGTCTCGCTTAATACCAAACGAAAGCTCCGGACTAAATAACGAGCTTTAAGAAGCACATAGGGATTGTTATTCGGAGCGAGTCCCATTTATTATGTCACATCTCGACCTGGGCCCCCACCATATCCCGGGCTCGACTCCTCCGTAACACGATATTGTCCGTTTTGGGCCCCGACCACGCCCTCACGGTTTTGTTTCTAGGAACTCACATGAGTATTTCCTAGTGGGTCATCCATCCTAGGATTGCTCTCGCGTGAACTCGCTTAACTTCGGAGTTCCGATGAACTTCGAAGCCAATGAGCTCCCAAAATGCCTCGTGCTAGATAGAGATGGGAATATACATATAAGGCTTACATGATCCACTTCCCTGGGTAATGTGGGATCTTACAATCCATCCCTTTTAGGGACTCGACGTCCTTGTTGGCACACTTCCAGCCTGGGATTGGCTATGATACCAAATTGTCACATCTCGACCCGGGCCCTCACCACATCCTGGGCTCGACTCCAGCATAGCACGATATTGTCCGCTTTGGGCCCCGACCACGCCCTCACGGTTTTGTTTCTAGGAACTCACACGAGATCTTCCCAGTGGGTCACCCATCCTGGGATTGCTCTCGTGCGAACTCGCTTAACTTCGGAGTTCCGATGAACTCTAAAGCCAATGAGCTCCCAAAAGGCCTCGTGCTAGGTAGAGATGGGAATATACATATAAGGTTTACGAGATCCACTCCCCTGGGTGATGTGGGATCTTACATGTTATAGTCCAGAAGCATACCAAACGTAGGATTATAGTCCTACTTAAGCCAGTTCAAGCCATTCCCTCCTAAGAAGGTGTAACAAACGCACCCAAAGAGTCTTCGCTAACGTATATCATATATGTATGTACTGTATATTTTAAAAGTTTTGTAACAACATTCGATGTCATCTTTAATTACTTGAATCGGTATTAAACTTGCTCAAATTCATGATCTTTTTCTACATTTCACTAACACATACAAAATTAAAAAACATATGGCCTATTATTTTTCGTATTCCAATAATTGAAACGTTATGAATTAGATCATTATGGGGGAATTGTTGACCATATTTTAATGGATGTTTTCAGGTGCTTTGGCGTTTATCAGTTGATTGGGTAAATTGTTGCATCATCTCTCTGTTTCATGCATATTCGTTTTTCTCACATTTATGCAAAGGAAATTAGGTGATAGATTCTTTAGCTTTGGTGTTTATTACTTTAAGATTAATTGGTGGGATTCTTGTCCACCGTGTGCAACTACGACACTTGTCATAATATTTCGAGGCTTCAAAATTTATGTTTCTTTTAGGAGTTGTCTTAATTGATTTCTTTTTTCTAATAGTCTTCTACATCTTGTTAAGGTAAGGCTTCATGTCTCCTCAAATTTATTGTATCTTTGTTTTTTTTTTTTCTTCAATAAATTAACAACAATATTTTTTTTTCCCGTGATAGCAGTACTAGAGTAAAAGTGACATTATTATTATAGATAAATAAATAAAACTCCTATGTTATGGTTAAAAATTTTCGCAATGAAACCTAGACATCCTTCATTCAATAAATAAATCAAGTAAAGCGAAATTTTTTCTACTTGATTATAAATGGAAAACTTTTAGAGTGATATTTCTATCGTCATTTTGCGTTATAAACCTAAAGACAGACAATAGTTTGAGTGGGTCAATTATAATAAATTGCGACATATTATTTTATAAACATATGATATATTCTAATATGTAAAAACACGTATTAAATATGTCTGAATTAATAACACTGTGACGATATGATAATCGGACCAAAATATAACAGGACATTACTTCGAGTGTGACTTACGCCAAAAAATTTCTGTTTCTAAATGTCTCAATCGATTAGAACAAAAAAAATGTCTCAGTATTTAATTTCTTTTCCAAAACATTGAGATTCACAAATCCACCACCACTCTCTGCCTCTGCAGCCAAAAAACAGAACAAAGAAACTACTAAATCACACATTCACAAATTACGTGTTCAATCTACCTCATACTCCATGCCAAAACCAAAACCCCTGTTTTTAACCCACCAGTTTTTTAAGGGTTTTTCTTAAAAAAATAAAAAAAACTAATTTTACTTTTTACTAATTACACCTGATTTCACTTTAATAACTTACTGCGCCAAACAGAACGCCCTGCATTTCCCGAGAAAATGCCACAATTTTCTCTCCCATCAAACAAGAAAATAAAAAATAAAAAATAAAAAATAAAAAATTACAGCGAGAAAAGAAAACAAAAAACAGTAAAGTCCCACAGATGGAGATCACAAACAACAATCTGCATCCCATAATCACAAAATAAGCAAACCCAAAAAACAAAAAGAAAAAAAAAAAATCCTTAGATTTCCATCTCAGAATCTCTGTCCTTATTCTTCAATTTCTCCAACAAAAAGAATACACCCTTTTGTTCCAAAGTTCAAATCTTTCTTCCAATTTCAGATTCAAACCTTCAACAATCTGAAATTTGCCCCCACTTGTCATGTACATGTACATTTCTTCCCCTCTCTCTCTCTCTCTCTCTCTCTCTCTCCAAGTTTATTGAGAGGTTTCATGTTTGATTGGTGAGTGCAAGGTAATTTGAATGCTCTCAGAGTTTTCCATTGTTGTTGCTCTTGCTGGTGTTGGTTTTTGGAATCAGAATCTGGGGACCCACATTGCCAAGATCTGATTTTTATCCAATGCCCTCAATTTCAAACATCTCTCTCAAGAAATTTCAGAAATTGCCTCTGTCTTCCTCCAATTTGAGCTCAAATCTATGACACAAATCTAAATTAGGGTTTTTTTCTTCCGCAATTTATAAATTATTTTGCTGGCAAATTATGGGTTTGTTCTAAAGCTTCCGTCTTTGTTGATATTTTGATAAATTTTCACAATGCTCAAGCAATTCCTCAGTAAACTGCCGCGGAAGGCCTTGAAATCTGACGAGAGGCCGGAGTCGCCGCGGACGAACACGCCCCGCTCCGGGAGCCGGACTGGGCCGTCTGGCCTCGGCGGGGGCACCCCTCGATCCAACGGTGCAAATAGCTCGGGCCCGGGTAAAGCGAATGCCCCGAAACGCATGTCATCTGCGGTGTTTCCGGCTAGCGTGGTGGCCGGAATCGAGCCTCTGGTGCCGTTCAAGGACGTGCCGACGTCGGAGAAGATGAACCTCTTCGTTAGCAAGGTGAGCCTTTGTTGCGTAACGTTTGATTTTACGGACCCAACTAAGAATTCGATAGAGAAAGATGTTAAGAGGCAGACATTGCTCGAACTTGTGGACTTTGTAGCAACTGGGTCGATGAGATTCAGCGAGCCTGCCATTTTAGCAACCTGTAGAATGTGTGCCATTAATCTGTTCAGAGTTTTCCCGCCAAATTACCGGTCGCGTTCCAATGGTGGGGCGGGTGAGAACGATGATGATGAGCCCATGTTCGACCCCGCCTGGCCGCATTTGCAGATTGTGTATGAATTGCTGCTTAAATTCGTGACTTCTTCGTGTCTGGACGCGAAGATTGCAAAGAAGTATGTAGACCATTTGTTTATTTTGAGGTTGCTTGAGTTGTTTGATTCCGAGGATCCTAGGGAGAGAGATTGTTTGAAGACCATTCTGCATAGGATTTATGGCAAGTTCATGGTTCATAGGCCATTTATTCGCAAGGCTATCAACAATATATTCTATCGCTTTTTGTTTGAGACTGAGAGACATAATGGGGTTGCTGAGTTGCTGGAGATATTTGGGAGTATTATTAGCGGGTTTGCGTTGCCCTTGAAAGAGGAGCACAGGGTATTCTTGTGGAGGGTTTTGATTCCTCTGCATAAGCCGAAGAATCTGGGGTCTTACTTCCAACAGTTGTCCTATTGCGTCACGCAGTTCATAGAGAAGGAGCCAAAGTTGGCTAGTGTTGTTATAAAGGGTTTGTTGAAATATTGGCCGATAACAAGTAGTCAGAAAGAGGTGATGTTCTTGGGTGAGTTAGAAGAGATTTTGGAATCGGTTAACATGGTAGAATTTCAGAAGATCATGGCCCCCTTGTTCTGCCAGATAGCATGCTGCATTAACAGTTCCCACTTCCAGGTAATTTTCAATTTTAGTGTCTCATTTAAAGAGAGTTCTATTTATTCTTCGCTTTGACTTGTATTATGTTTATATTATAGTAGATTTTGGACCTAGAAGTTTTAGGATAACTTTTAGGAATGCAGACATTTGCATTGAGGAATTTGATGATTGCTTCTTGTGTTTCTCAGGGAATGCGTATATTCTTGTCTTAAGCTCATTCCTCGGAAAACAATTTACAATTTACTTGTGTTTAAATGTTTCAGGTAGCTGAAAGGGCCCTGTTCTTTTGGAACAACGACAACATTGTCACCTTAATTGCGCATAACCGTCAAGTAATTCTGCCAATCATTTTACCAGCCTTGGAGAGGAACTCTCATAACCACTGGAACCAAGCAGTTCTTAATTTATCTTTAAATGTCCGAAAGATGTTTGTGGAGATGGATGAGCAGCTATTCCTCTCCAGCCATGCCCACTTCATGGAGGAAGAAGCAAAGCAAAGCTTGGCAGCCAAGAAGCGAAAGGAAGCATGGGAACAGTTAGAGAATGCAGCTAGTCTCCAGCCAGTAACCGGAAACACTGCTGTTCTGGTAACGCCTATAGCAACCTCAATCGCCTGTTAAAAATTAACTTTCGAATTGATGCTATCGCAGCCGATGTTTTCCCTTATTTCCTCCCTTTTTATGATGGTGGGGAGTGACAAGATTACGGGAAATGTATGGAAAATGGCTGTAGTTTCAGGGTTGGGATTGTATTTTTGTAATGGTCCTGTGACAGCCAGTTGTTGTAACCTTGTTTTTTGCTTCCCCAGAAAGGTGTTTCTGGGGGAGGACTTCCCCACAATTTTCTGTACTACTACTAGCTTAATTGACTGATTCCTTTTTAGCCCTCTGTAATATTTGATGTTCAAGAGCAGCTAACATGTAACGGGTTTGCTCCAACCGTGGCGTTCCGATCCATGTAAGTCGTTCTCTTGATGTTCACCTATGTTTTTATGAAAACTAATTATAGATCCATGTGTTTGTCAATGCCAAATTATTGCGGGCACTTTTCAGTTATGGTTCTCAGATCTTCTGATTTAATGGGTCCCTATAAATATAAAGCTACCTGATATAATGAAAGATATGAAAAATAAGAGATAACTAGGTAAGGTGGTCACATCATAATCCATGATGGGTTCCCCTGTTGGTTGGCATGTTGTTTGACAAAATAATTTTGCAACGATGAAGACTTTCATGCACCTGTTTCATGAAACCTGGGTCACATTTGCTACATTGTGCGCCTCATAGATGGTCATCAACGTGAAACAACTATTTCATACAATTGGTGCATGAAAGTTTTTCTCCTCAACGTGGAACACCATTGATGTGTCCATTGCAATTGCATTAGGTTAATGACTCATAACACAAGGGTTTTCAACATCTTGAACTGAGTAGTTGGTTTGTATGGAAAGTTCTTGGATTTTGGCTTGTTTGGGATTACTTTCGTAGGAAGCACTATGCCCATAAGTACTTTTGTTGTAAGTGATTTCATTAGAATCCAAATGCTTCTTGAAAAAGCACTTCTAAAAAAATTCACGTTCATTTGAAAGTGCTTCTTAAAAAACATCTGATAGGTGTTTCACCATAAAATGATTTGATGATCCAAAAACTCTGATATACACATATCACCTGCAAGCATATTACCGCAGTTACTTATTTTGATGAAGATATCAGTACATGTTGTATCAAATAGAATCACAGCAAAATGATTGATAACTATTTTCAACTTTTTTTTTTCTTTTTTCCCATATATGAAGTTCTAGATACAAACAATCAAGGAGCCACATTTCCTGCTTGAAACTTGCAACCCAAGTCACAGTAGCTCTTAAAACTTCCCCCATGTGGTGAGAGGTTTTGGTACATTATTTTGCCAGGAGCCAAATACATAATTGTTTGTCCTAATTGTGTCTTAATCTAGAAGAATTTGAGGCTCCAACGACAGATCTGGAAGCACCAGAAACATTAAACAACAAAGGAAGGGAGGGCGGGCGGACGGACAGACGGACAACAAAGTTAGATGGAAGGTTAAAGAATTTCATGTTGGAGATCTGGATGTCCCTCAAACTCTAAGTACCCGAATGCAGAGAGCTTCTGCTAGTTAATAAATATCCGTCACGATTCAGCTCTTATAGAAGAGTTAGCAAATTATTGATCTTCGAAAGAGTGAACCACCCGTTGTTTGGAGGTCAATGCAGCCACTGACTTGAACTGTCAAGACAATAATTTGAATCAGAATACTGAATCTAAATGAAGTGAAACTAGACATGAGTTTTAACATTGAAGTGCTGTTTCTAAAAATCGTCTTCTGACAAACGTGATCAATCAGAAAACAAACTTATATAGTCCTAATACCTTCTGGTGTTTATACTTCTCACGAATTGTATTTAGGAGGCAACCAGTGGTGTTCAATTGCAAATCTTCCAGTGCAACAACTGTAGTTTTGAGCTGTGAAGTTTTGTACGAGGTGTAGTGCTCTAAAGTGGGGTTCTGCAAAACGTAAACCTGACATTCTTCAGACAATTTTCAATGAGAACAAAGTAAAAAACCTCAACTACGAGAGAGGCACAGATTTGCAGACCCATGGATGGTCTGACTGATTGAGTGTCCATCTGGCGAGGAACACAGCGGAGGCAGCTATGAGGGAAGGTAGGAACTTCAGGAAGCCGTATTCAACAAGAGCCAATTCTGCTAAATAATTTGCCAATAACTCCAGTTCAACACAAGGAACCTGCATAACAAAGTAATTGAAATACAACTCTTTTCTTGTAAGGTAATTGATTTTTCAGAAGCTAAGTGCGGACAACTTATAACTTAGAATACCTTATAAGATGCTTGAGCTGCATGAATGAACCTCCTGAAACCCAAAATTCGGTTTATTCAGTTCACTTCAGACGGCGTTTTCTAAGGAACATAGATAAACCTTGGTGAGTGCATTACCTAAGAAATGTTTTTATGGTGGGAACAGATAACTGGAAGTGCATGAAATTTAGAACTTGACTCTCCATTTTTAATACCTGCAAGATTTAATCAGGAAGTATGTGACTTAGTACGTAACTAGTTATACCAATGGAAAAGAGTTAGAACGTAAGCATGAGGGTGGGCATTGCCATGTGAACTGCACACCAAGGTTTTGCTTTCGAATTATGCTACGTAAACAAATCAAAGTTTTATGAGGTCTAACGTAGACAAAGTTTATGACTAAGAACGCACCTCCTCTCTTGAGTAAGTATTGTCTGTGATGATGCAAAATTCTTCCACTTGCGGTGCACATATTTCTTCATACTTCCTTTGAGTCATAAGAAAAATACATAAACCTCAGTTAATGTAATGATAAAATAATTAAAAGAGGAGTATTGTCATTGCTTCCTCATCTACACTCATGTGCCAATCCACATGCAACACACATATATACAGAAGTTTGTCGAAGTCTACCAAAGATGATGCCATCAGATAGCCCGAATAAACATCAATCAGGATCTTTTTTATTGATAATTTAACAATAAGACACTCGAAAGCACCACCTATGCACCTAATATAGCACTTACGAGGCAATTAACATGCAAGTGACTCCAAGCAGCTGGAGCCTTTGCTTTTCAATATAATTTTGAGAGAGAAACCGATCAATGAGATTTACTGTGAGGTAAAGTGTATCTGGAACGAGCTTATATTCTTCAGAAACCTGAAAGAGACGTAAGAAGATATTAACACTAAAGCATATGTTAACGGAAAATATTCTTTAGTAAATGGCGAAGGAATAGTTCGCTTTGTGCTCAACGGATGGCTCCGTTGTGAACCGAAAATATTGCCTATCCATGAAACAATAAAATTCAGATTTTCTTGACTAAGACAAAAAGCTCCTTTTGAATTCGGTAAGCAACCACACAAGGGTCATTTTAAATGGAACAAAAAATGGCTCAATATCTGCAAAACAAGAAGAAAAGTTGGACTTTATACTTCGGGACTGAAGTCCAGGTTTTTCAGTATCCCTATTAAGAAGAGATTAGCATGGATGCCCTTAAGCAAAGGCACACCATATCGTAGAAATATCAGAGCCATTTGAATAAGTACCTCCACAAGCCAATCAATCAAAATTCCTCGCATGCTGGGAGTGATATCCTGCTGCAATCTTTCCATATAATCAGTTGATGGTCTTCGCACTACCTGAGGAAGAATAAATTTTCTCTAAAGTCAGATTCAATAACGTTCCTGACGTTATTTTAGCAAGCACAGATCGCCCTTTCCTTTACTATGCACCAGTATAATTAGATAAATTGTTTCAGTGTTTAATATATAGGAAACCTTACACTTCTCTGTCCTATCAATTCAAGCGAAGAATCAATATTGCTATAAGATTACAATTAATAATGTCATGCTGTACTAGAATTCTGAAACACTAACCTCTGTCAGGCAGATATTGCTGTAAATATCAGGGGCATACAAGCTGCACGCTAGAGGATCCTTTAAGTTTGAGTCAATATTCACGATGTCCAGGACATTTGAAGATCCCACTATCTCTCCAACCATATATTCATCTGCATGGTAAAATCAAAACATCATTATCCTTTGCTAAAATGATTTCAAGTTTCCCCTTCTCGTTTTAGACTTTGCAAGCATCACTCTAACAAAGTATAGGCTCAGGCACCAAAAACTAGTCAGTTTAAGAAGATAAAATATACCTTTCTTTTGGGGGTTCCAAAGTTCAGCAGATTCGGCGGGAGCCTGTATTTTAAGCATTAAATCTGCTCCTCTATGTTGTCCCAAGGTATGACACATACCCTGGGGTACTGGCTCTTTTGGCAGAGTGGGCTCTAAGGGTTCTGCCACCCTTATTTTGGATAATTCCTCAGCTAACTTTGCTTTTACATCGTCTTGAACTATTGGAATTGCTTCAGAGACAGTTGAGGCCACCTTAACATTCTTTCCAAGTCCTCTTCTAGCCTGCTTGTTAGTCTACCGGTACCAACAAATTCTAAGTTAGAATTACTTAAAAAGTACTAACATAATAGACAATCAAGCATATCATCGTCCCCTTTGTCAGGTATAAGGGTAACGGTTCAATTAATTCGAAATCATGTGAGGTTTCTTGACAAACATAAATATTCAGACACAATTCAGTACTTTTGCAAGTAGGGTTAGAAACCAAAACATTCAAATGTATACCTGAATCTGAGATGCATCAGTGCAATTAACATATGAACTTTCAGAGGTGATGTTTCCTACATCCTTAAGCACTGCCCTTCTTTTATGCTGCAAGCCAACATTAGCAATTGCAGATGCTTTGTTCTCATCTGATGCTGCTCTTTTGGAAATCGCTCGAAGACCATGCTTCTGATCTTGTTTAATGAAAAGTTTCGAGGAGCAGAGTTCCTCACTGGATGCGCCAAAGGCTTTAGACCGTGCTCTTGTGATTCGGACATTAGGGTCTTCAACTTTGGCAGCATTTGCATTTTCCTTATTCATATTTGCCTGCCTTGTAGAAGAGCAACGAATAAATTCAGTCGGAAACCTTGTTCATGGAACCTGCATTTTCAAATCAGTTTATGTCAACAAGAGTTACTGTGCATGTTTTCACAAACAAAACAAGCATAAGAAATCAGCCCGAAAAACAATTTTCGCCGAGTACAAAGGGGCAAAAACGAAATGCCCCTTACGGTCCTCTGCAAAATTCGATTGCATTTTATGCAACATAAAGATAAATCGAAGATTTTTTCCATTGAAGCAGCAAATTTTTTACTTTGACAAAACCCACAACAACTTGCAATGTCAAAGCAAAACAGGGGATTCAGATGAAGCTATCTCAAAAGGGTTCCCATGCCATAACCACAAAACAATTTTCTAGCTTTGCAAATTCGATCACTTATTATTTTGTAAATAAAAATTTAAGAAAATGGGAAGAAAAAGAAAAGCTTTTTAATTTCTCATCAGCCATTGGTTGTTTTTAATTAAATTAAATGAGAAACTGGGATTTTTAGCGTTTCCAGGTCCAG